GGCAAGGTTGACTCAGCCTTTCATCCCTTCAGTGGGTCGATAAATGAGTACCAAGCATGCTTGGGAACTAAACACTGGGGGTTCCGCGTTCGGCTGACCACCTGACCGGAACATCTGCTCCTGCACCCCAGAGCCCAAGGTCAAGAAAACTGAGATGGGCACAGTAGGCCTTGGCCCTCTATGGGCTGTCGTGCCGCTGAGTTTTTTTTAGAGAGTTATTAATATGATAATACTGAAGTTTAAAGGCTGAAAGAAAGAACTCGGTACATGTGAAATACTGCAAAAGATACGATGCAATAATATGATGGGGCGTTTTTTCAATCTGCGGCGTAAAAATATATCGGAAGCAGTAACCCGGAAATCTTGCGAGAGCAATTTAACCACTAGCGCCACCACCCATAGCTTTACACGATCACCGATCCATATCAGGTTCTTATATGTTTTTAGCGCCACCTTTTAACTTGAAGTTGAAGCTACTAAAAATCAAAGAAGGAATCATGATATTTATGGAGTAATATCAGTGCATCATGCTTTCTTCTTGTCTATATGTAAATAACCACTGTCAAAGCAATACATATCTTACATTATTCTCTTCGTTGCAAATTTTCTTATGAATTTCGCCCTTTAAATGTTAATAATTGTGGTTGTAGATTTGGTATATGTCTTCGTAAAGAAATATTTTTATTAAAATATTGTACATAGCTTTAAATTTTCGTAGATTTTTATACATTATGAAAAGTAATCTCTAATGAACATTTTATCTAATCAATAAAGCTTTAAAATTTGTTTGTAATTTTTTTACCATTATACAGTACAAGAAAGTGTAGCTACAATTTGAAAAATTTGTTTTTAGCATTATACCGGCGTACAAATGATTCTATTTAGTATGTGACACACTTATAAGAACTTAGGAAGCACTAAACAAGTGAGCCGAAGTTTTTCTAAGGACTGATTTCCCCCCCCCCCATTCATTAAACGTTAGGAATTACCTCTTTCTGTTTAGCTTAAGTATCCCTTGTCTGATGGATGTAAACGTCTGATGGATAATTACGGAGATGCATGCAGAAGTTCGTTGCTGAGGATATTATGAGTTATACCTCCAAAGTTGATGTTTTACAAAAATGATGCAGAAAGAAAAATTTTGAATTGCTACTTCAAATTAGATAGGAAAAACGCCGGGGGTATTTCCGTATCGTGATCTGTCACTCCAAATGGATGAAAAAGGTGCCAAATAGATTTTAAACTTGCAATATTTTTTTTTTGAAAGACAAACAAACTTGTAGATGTTTGCTTAGAGATAGCTACAAGTTATATCTTTCGAGTTGGTCTCTTTCTGTGATGTATTTCTTTAGTTTCTTGCAGGCCACTGCCTGGAAGTTGCCAAGTTTTGGCGATTATTCTGTCACAGATCAAGATATGGAAATCTCCCCAAATGCGGTGCTTCGAACTGATTTTTAGAAAGCTGGTAATAATTTTATTTTACTGTGGGCATATGAATATTATGGGCAGTACGAATATTATGAGATTATGCTGGTTTCTGGAGTGGGCAAATTTTTTGGGAGCCAAGAAACTACAAAATTTTTTGCACATTTCTGGTTTTTGCCTCATAATATTTAAATTGCAAATTTTCATGAAGCTCAATTAAAAATCTTTAAATTCTGCATTAATTGATATACTTAAACTCTAAATTTGGTTTAGCCGTTTGGTCAGAATCGATAATAAAAATTAGCCTCATTTTTCATTTTGGTTCAAAAAAGCTTTACACTTACTCTTAAACATCTGTAACCCAAAACTGCCCTTCCAAGGGAGAAGTAAAAGTTAAGTAAATTAAAAAGCATTTAAATCTGCTTTCAGTTCGTGTACAATTTCCTTATCTTGTTCATTCCTTTGCAAAGATACATAAAAAAATAAATTAACTACTTTCGTTATAATATCAACAAACTTTCGTTTGTTCGGCTTTTTTCTTTCATTTGAGTTTCAACTGTTGCTAAAATTTAATGCTTCATAAATGGTTATTAAGGTGGACATTATTTGTTTCATGTGTAAAGAAGAATAAGAATAGAGAAATAATTAAGAAATGTAGTCTTAAAGCATTTATTGAAGCCAGTAAGAAAAAGATAGTCATCATATATGGCACATTTTGTTTTTAGAAAAAGTGTATTTTGTTTGAAGTGTACCATTGATACCTTCTTGGAGAAAAGGAAAAGCAGACAAATTGCACATGAGATCAGGACTATTGAAACAATAAATACTACAGTCAAACCCTGCTATAGTAAATATGGTTTATAGTGAACTCCTGGATATAGTGAACAAAATGTTCACTTCCATACCTTGCTATATACATATAATATTGTTTATTGTGGATAAAGTGAACCAAAAGAAGAGAGGAAATTGGATATTATGAACTTTTTTCTGTCTTCGACTGATCTTTTCTTCATTTTTTGGGAATTTTGAAATTTCTACATAAAATACATATGCTGTATAAAATACATATAATATATACCACATAAAATACATATAATTTTAAAAACCATCTATTGAGTGAAATGTAGCCATAACCAGTTTGCTTCATCTATCTCAGTTTCCTATCTCTAAATACAGGCCATTCCTAAATTTTTGCTGCGCAAGATGAAGAGTAATAAAAAATAAAAGTAAAAATTTTTTGTTACTACATATTATTTTTTAATAATTTTTGTACATTTTTTTTTTTATTGGTCATTTATTTAAATAATTTGTAATAAAAGGAAGCAGTTCGGAAAAAATAGTTAAAATTGTTTGCAGTACGGATATAGTGAACTCCTGGTTATAGTGAACCGAAATTTCAGTCAATTGAAGGTTCACTATAGAGGGGTTTGATTGTATTAAAGAAAAAGTTTATGAAAGGAATAATGCGTGGAATGTGGCTGCAATAGTACTTTCACCCTTTCAATGCAAGGCAAAATAAAATTTGTCAACATTTTCCAGCGGAGCACCAGCCATCAAAGACATGCTTCAGTTTTTAATGATCTTAAAGCTATGTCTGATCTGGTTTCTGATGAAGAAGCCAATTTAGAGTCCCTATATATGGAAGACAACAAAGTTTAGCTTGTTTACATTACTTTCAAAAGACACTCTCAAAGGTTAATTTCAAATTTGCAACTTTATCTCCAACTGAGGCAGTTGCTCAACAACACTGTCTGAGGGTATGCCTTCAAGTGGAACTATGGAGATAAAACTTTCTTGTAGGCCTGGAATACCATAAAAAATGTTCTGATACCAAATACCACAAAGCTATCACAAGCACCTCACAAACTGCTGAACAATATTTCATGTTCCTGTAAAAATAGATATAAAGCTCCTTGTTCTTATAGGAAGGCTGAAATATTCAGTTATAGGTGCAAACTGCAAGGGCCACACTTGTACTAATTGTCTATCTGAGGATGACATTCTATTGTTTGAAAATATGAGGAAGAATAAATCTTATGTAAAAAAAAAATTCGAACGTGAAGTTCTCAAGGATATTCTTAAAGCGCATGAAAACATTTCTGGACCATCTTCTGCCTAGAGAATCAGAAATTTAAAAAAAAATGAACATTATTTTTGTTATAACCTATTATATATTTTTTTATATTTAGTTATTAGTTTTATTTTGTTAACTTATTTCTTTTTTCTTTGTTTGCTATTAAGTGTGTTTTTATTATTATTATTTGCTACATTGCATTTAACATTTCTGGAAATGCGTCTGTCTTGTTACTCATTGCTATTTTTTTTTATAAGCAATTGGTGATTTAAATTGTCTGAAAAGAAAGCTTTTTCCATAACTTCGTGTTGCTTTGTTACTGCGATTCGAAAAAGAAAATAACGTGTAAATAAACTCCGCTCTAAATGATGTCCCAAATCTACTGTATGTGAAAACTAGAAATCATTGAACTTTAATGTCGATGCGAAAATAAGGAATTAAACATGGTGGTCCAATACTTCTTTCACCTAAGATTCTCAGAACATCTCAGCTAATGCTATCCTAAAAGTTTAAAAAAAGAAAAAATGAATTTGATTCCTTTCAGTATATGCAACAAAAAAAAAAGTTGTCATTTTTGTTTTCTTTTTAGTTTTTCTGTGTAAAAATGAGCAAAATTATGAAAATAGTGTTCCTTGGAAGAATTTGATGCTCTAAAACTTTCATATCTATTATTTTCCAATTAGAGTGGCATTTACAATTCTTGAGTGTTTGTAAGGAAGCATAAAATATTTTTTAAGTGAAGCAAAAATTTTTTCTCAATTTTGATTACTGAAATTCATTAAATCAAATTTAATTAGCAATTATATTATCCCATGCAGAATTTACTGATTTTTAATTTTGTTTTTAGTTAAAGTTTGCGTATAATGCTATCTTTAGAAGTAATGAAGCAATAACTATAAAAGTGCTACACATTTCGCAGATTTTTGGTTTTCGAAAGCTTAGTTCACTTAACAGACCCATATAATTTTTGTTTGGGATGCCCAAGTGAAATAAAATCATTTCCTGCTTTCTGCGAATTAGTTCGAACTAAAAATCTAATTTGACCGGGTTATATTTAAAAATTCGCACTTGTTATAGAAGGAATCGTGTATGTTCTGAACACACAAAAACAGAAAATCAAGACAAAAAGCTAAAAATCAGTACTAATAGCGACAAAATATTTTTTATCAAGAAAATCAGGATTACGAGCTTGCGTTTGTTTAATGCATTTCAATGTCAGCTGAGACAGCATCAAAAATCTCTATACTGTAACAAATACATATACATATCTTTGTTGATTAAATTGAAACAAATTTTAGTATTAATTTGTATTTTGTAGAACAATTTACGAGGTCAAATTTGACTGCACTATAGTGATCTTTGTACATGGTGATGACTACTTTATAATTTTTTTAAACTTACCCTGGTATGCAAAAGAAAAAAATGAATTACTACTTTGAATTAGTCAAATGAATTTTCAATTCAAATGGATTTTGAATTAGTTCCTTAGAAATCAAAATTTAAAATAGTCAGGTATTAAAAAATTTTTAAATTCACTTAAAGAATTCTATGGTGAAGACGTAGTACACAAAAAGTAAAATTAACGTTTAGGGGTCAAAACTTGCAACCACTCTCCTGACCAGGTTATTGGGACCATAGTTCCCAGATTGCAGCTACTTCCTATAGTTTAGGAGTCAGAAATCTAAATCCATAAAAAAAAAAGAAAAATACAGTTATATTTATACAGAGAAAGTATGTTTTTGAGTCTGATTTCGTAACTTAAATAGGACCTGCATTAAATAGTATATTTAAGATCACCCCTTGAACAATTAAGATTTAGTTCTAGTGAGTTTTTATTTTTTAGCAAATTTGACTTTTAAAATATAGAGGCTGCCTATATTATAGTGCTTATAGTTTATTCTACTGTTATGAAAGATGGAAGAATTCTGAAAAAGGAATATATTCTATGGTTGTAATTTAAAATTTTGTAAATTTCATGTTATTAAATATACATAGTATTTCTTTATTACTGCCTTTAATATATATTTTAGAAACTTGACAAGAAAAGTTAAAAAAAAAAAATTAACATCAGGGTACGCAAATTAGTATTCAAACAAGGTAAAAATACAAACTGTATTGAAGTCTAGGGAATCACAAATAAGGAAAAAGGATTGTAAACATCTATACCAGTTGGATTGAATGAGGAAACAAAGAAGGGTTGAATTGTAATTATTCGAACTTTATATTTAATTTGATAATATTTGGCGGTACTAATAGTAATTACAGTTCAACTCTTATCTGATTTCTCTCTCAATTGCACAGGTTTTGATATATTCAGTCATGCCTTTCTTAGAAGTGTAATGTTTATTTCTATGTATTTCAAAGTTTGGATTTTTTTTTTTTGCTTAAATAATAAATTGGTATAGTTCAAACTGTTTATAAAGGGGGGAAAATTCCAACTCTTTCGAATGGAATCTATTTATTTAAATTTTCTTAACAAAGCACAATTTTTTAATATATTGTACAATATGCAATTTAAAGAATTATGAAATGAAAACATGCAATACTTGAATTATATACAAGAATGGCATTGTGGTTAGAAGAAAAGTACTGGAACATCCAACTGGTGCATTCCAGCCCTATTACACTCGTGGGGATAGTCTTTATCTGGAAAATATTATTCCTATATTTTGGTCAGAAGAGCGTTCGGAAGATTGCACCTCATAATTGTAGTTTTTTTTTTGTTGCTTATTTTGCCATCTCAAAAGGGTCATATTTTTAAATTTCATTTCTCAAGAACTAGTCGACTGATTCCCTTCAGATTTTGGATTTTTGTCATTTTAAAATTATGTAGATTAAAATAGAGTAAAAATTTGTTTTCCTTGCAATTCACATTTTTTTTACTGTTAATAAATTGAATGATAAAAATAATAAACATAAATTGAATGAAATGAGGCAAAATACAAAAAAAGTGGAATTAACATTAAGGGGTCAACCGTTATTTTGATCTAAGACCACATTTTCCAGTTTGCAGCTTCCTCTCTCCCCCCCCCCTATATTTTGAGAATGAATTCAAATTTATGGAGAAACAGTTTCACTATTCAGATAAAATACATTTTTGTGTCTGATTTTATGACTTAATTAATAGATAACTGATTAATCAGCATTTTTAAGGTTATGCTCCTAAACCATTAAGATCCCATCTTAGAATGTTAAGATCAGACCATCAGGTTAAAGGTTATTAAGAAAATTCTTTTTTATTTTCCAGACTGTTGTGAAATTTTCAAATGTGACTATCAGCGACGCCCGGTGGCTGAGCGGTAGCGCTTCGCTCTGTCGTGCCACAGGTCCCTGGTTCGATCCAGAGGACGGGCAAGGTTGACTCAACCTTTTATCCCTTAAGTGGGTCAATAAGTGAGTACCAAGCATGCTTGGGAACTAAACACTGGGGGTTCCACGTTCGGCTGACCGGAACATCTGCTCCTGCACCCCAGAGCCCAAGGTCAGGAAAACTGAGATGGGCACAGCAGGCCTTGGCCCTCATGGGCTGTCGCGCCGCTGAGTTTAGTTTTAGACTGTCAGTAATAGAGAAAACCATTACACCTAAATTTGTATTATTTTTTGCCAAGCCTTTTTATTTTAATGATATACTAGCTTCTATAGAAGCTTTGACTACCAGTGTAAATTACTTGCTATCAAAATATATGCTAAAGCAGCTCAATTATCTACTATTTCAGAATGATGGAGAGTCCTGACGTAGCTAAAGATTTTCCTGGATTATATGCTTCAGGAAGCAAAAAAACTAGTGGTATGAAAACTTATGGTATTCTGTAAAGTTTATTTTTAATATTCATTTATTGTTTATCACTATGCCTAAAAAATATAATGCAGTAGAAAGTCTCTTATTTGAAATTGACTATTCTGATTTTGACTACTCTGGAATATAGATTTTTTTTTCGTGTTAAAAAAGTGAACAATATATGTCAATTTTCATCCAATAATATCTTGTTATTAGTTAAAGGGCATTTAAATAACTACCGATTGTTTAATGTCATGAAAGAGAAAAAAATGCAACAGTAAGCAGAAGATCATTTTAACTTTTCCTGTTCCCAAATAAAAACCTATTTGTTTCCTTTTTTTTCTCTCTCTCTTTCTTTTGATATGAAAAGATAGCAAATCACATATAAAGATTTTTTTTAAAGAAAGAGAAAGAAGAAACAAGCTTCAAATTCCAGAATTATTTTATCAAAATAAAAACGAAATTTGGTAAGACTAAATATTTTATAATGCATGATTTAATAAAAAAATATTCAACAAGAATTTCTGAAACTTTTTAATGATAACACATCCAATTTAAAACTGAAATGAAGCTTGTCAATAAGTGTTTCTTTCAAATACCATTAATATTCAGCTTCATTGATATTCATAGGGTTTTCTGGTCGTCAAATTTTGAAAAATTTGAATTTTTTAAAATTATATATTTCGATATCTTATACTATGGGATGTATGTGGGCAGAACCATTTTGCTTGGAAACCATTTGATATAGGTAAAAAACGTGATAATCAGATTGGCGGTTCTGTTTTGTTGAGGGCTGGCACGGAAGGCAATAAGTGCTGCAGGCAATCAGGCTTATATACAAAGATCTGTCACATGCAGGGATGTGATTCTTCCGCGGATTCCCGTTTTTTTTTCTGATTTTTCCATTTTTCCCGCTAATTTCCGCTGAAATTTTTGTTTGCACAAGTTAAAATATATTATGAGGAATTAAATTTTCCACGAAGCAAAAGTAGCGAAGCCCTCTTTCCTTCCTCAAACATTGATTTTCGTATTTACCTGATTTAAAAGTTGAACGTTGTGATTCCTAATCAGGCGATTTAATTGTCGTACATTGCTATTCTTATTTACGAGATTTAAAAATCAATATTGCGATTTGTAATTACGCACTTTTAAAACCCTACATAGCGATTCGTATTCACGCAGGGCTGATTGTGCTCCGTAAAAAATCTGGATTTCCGGATTTTTCACTAACAGTGATCCGGAAGTTTCCGGAGATTGAAGGTCCAGACATTTAAAAAAATCATTGATCACAGAAGTTTCCGGAAATCAAATTTTCAAAGGTGGAACTTAAAAACACAGTTTATTTTATTTGTTTGTAAGGGAGAGCCAGAGAGATACTTTATAAGCTTATAATCATGATTAATATTCATTTTTTATCAGTAAATAGTTGTTTTAATCATAAACTCAAGAAAAAGACATATTTGTAAATTTCAATTACTTCTCCAGGTCATCATAGGTATGTGTAAATGGTATAGGTATGTGTAAAATTGTAAATATAATTTAAGTAAACTATGAAATGTTGAGAAAAAGGAAAAATAAACTTGTATAAATTTTTTTAAATTTAAACTTTTTTTTTTAACTCAAGAAATTTTCCAGAATTTTGGCTTGGGCTCACAATCATCCCTGTTCACGTGAGCTTAAAATCCAGTGTCGTGATTCGCTTTTGCGGTTGTAATATCAAGCATCGATTTTCATATTTATGCGTGCTTTAAAAATTAGACAGTGGGATTCATGTTCGCGCTATTTAGAAATTACGCACCGTGATTCGTATTTACTTGATCTAAAAATTAAGCATCATGCTTTGTATTTTCGCATTTTTTAAATTCGATATAGAGTTTCATATTCACGTGATTTAACTTAATTTAAAATCATGCATGTGATTCATATTTATATATTCATGCAATTTTAAAACTAATCATCGGGGTTTATAATCACATGGTTTACAAGTTAGAAAATTGCACTTTTTTGAATTTTCTCTTTTTTACTTTCCAACTACTCTCATCCCTGCACATGACAATTAATTTGAAAGGTATATTTTCCTGAACAGTCAAAATGATAACTGAATGCTGAATTTGCTCATTAAACATTTTCTCTGAAACATATCCATTAGCGTAAAGATATGGTCAAAATTGCCACTTATTTGACTACTTTGATCATCAATAACGATTTCATGAAGATTGCCAACATGCTGGATTTCATGGGATTCAAATTTGCCCCACAATGTTTAAGTTTTGAAAAAGATGTAACACATGTGTGTTACACGTGCCTTCAATGCTTTTAGAACTGTGCGTCATGACCTATAAGAAGCCAGATCTGTGATCAGACAGGAAGCACTGCACGCCAATGAAATGTTTGAGTTTGAGGAAGGTGTGTGGTTTAATCCATGCATCGTTGATTCATATTAAATCTCAAACAACCAAAGAGGAACATTATCAAATCTTTTAATGCGATTTACCAGAAATAATTTTCTTTTGTTGGGATTACAGAAAAATTGATCAATCAATTTGATATCACTGAGGTAATTTGTAGAGAATTGATGTGATTATGGTTGAAACAACAAAAATTGAAACTTTTCCAAAATAAAAATTTTGTATGTTTAAATGCAAAAAAAGTCTATTGTTTTTAAAAATGTTTCTTCAGCTGTTTTGTCTTTGCTAAAGTGAGAAGGATTGTTTTTATTTTTTAAATAAGTAAAATCTACAAAGCATGCAAAAAATACTGTCTAGTTTGTTTTTAAATAGATTAAAATGAAAGCTTGGTTAATATCTGGTTTTTTTTTTCAGTTAATGCTTTTTTAAGATTTTTTCTATTTCCTGTTTTTTTCTTTAAAATATATCATATTACAACATCCAGTCATATTGCTTTTGAAATATCTCTTTCAGATTATTTTATTTTTGAGGAAAGGAGAAAGTTTATACTTAAAAGTGCTATCATAGATATTAAGAGTATAAAATTTATGAGTAAATAATCTCAAAGTTAAATGTAGGGACATATTTAGAAGACTAATAAGAGGTTAAATTGTTTAACAAATAATTAAAAAAGTTGCACCATGATTTAAGGATAGAGTACCCTAAGACATCATAAGTTCACAATTTTAAAGAATTTGTAATTTCAGATGAAAACTAGGTTTATTTATTATTATGATTTTTTCATGCAGTAGCTCAAAAGTGATGAAATAGAGAAATTTTTTTTTGTTTTGTTAAGATTGGGCTTTTATAAAATTTGTTTCTAATTCTTTGTATTATGAAGTACTTAACCTTTTTTTAAAATAATATATAAACAATTTTACTAATATTAGGGAAATTCTTATAAGTTTTTTTTTTTTTTAAATTTCAAAATGCTGTATATAGAATTGAATAATAAAATAGAATGCAATGAAAGAGTAATTCAAATTGGTTTCTAGTTGGAATATTGCAAATCGACAAAATATCAAAATCTATTCTAAAGAGCATGTTTAGAGAATTTTCAGCTAAAAAGGCATTAAAGAAAAACTTATATTTTGTATGGTATAATCTGACAACTGAATACTCAAATTTTCTAATAAATATTTCATAAAATTTTTTGTGGGAAAAAATTTTGATGAGAACAACAGAATTGTTTTTCTAAAATTTATTGTTGGCCAATGAGGAATATATATATATATATATGTTACCAGCAAAGTATGAAATGCCGGCATTGTATATAATGCCGGATGTTTTTTGACAAGGTATGGAATATGCAAAGTATTACTTACTTTCTCTAGGCATCTATGTAATACCTAGGCATTCTATGGAATGACAAATGGGCAAAGTATGAAAAAAACATCCTGATGAGGTTATTATGTAATTGATGTGCATTTCTCCAAAATAAAAATACTATTCTTAAAAAATAATGAGAATGCCATTAAAAAAAATTCTTCAAATTGCGTAACGAAAAATAAAAGTTGTTCAAAATGAAACAAAATTTTTATATAAAAAATAAGAATTTATCCTACTTGTTGCAACATGGCAGGCTTGAATAACATTTTGAATAACATTTAGACAAATCGGAGATCCATTTTGTACTTTGCTGGTAACACACTCACATATATATATATATACAGTAGGGAACCGATTATCCGGAACGATCGGGACCATCGCTATTCCGGATAACTGATTTTTCCGGTTTTCTGAATCGCTACAAAAAGCCGTTTTTTTTATTGTTAGACCCAACTAAAAAATTTTTTTTGTGGGAACAATCTTAAAAAGAAGAAAAAACGATGGAGTAATACACTAATGATTATTTCCAAAATGATGGTAAGGTNTGCTTCTGCTGGTTAAATGGTATCCTAACTGGAGGGTAAAATTAATTTGCAGGCCATGCAGTGTTTCATCCGCTAATGTACTTATTTTAAAAGTATGTTACAATACTAAATTCTTTATTTTGTAATTTCCTTTTTATGATAATGATTTGTATAAATTGTTTGATTTTAGTGTGCAACAATTTAATTTTGGAATAAAGCAAAACAATGTGAATAAGAATTTTTTTTATGTTGTTCTGCTTATTCATACGTAGCACTAAGTATGATCTATCCTCATTTAAATTTAGTTCTTGCTTGCAACACATTTTTAAGGAAGTTGGTATTTTTTTGTTTTTCTTCATTTTTTAATTATTACTACTTTTAAAATTTCACTGATTAAGTTTTTCGAAGCTCTTTTGACAAGGAAAAATAAAAATAATCCACAGTTTTAATGCTTTATCAGGAGTCTGTTTAGAAGAAATTTGGGTCCGTTAGCGGACCCTTCACAAAATAATTTATCTTTTAATTGGACTCTTCACAAATTTGTTTATTTTCATTATTGTTTTGTTAATCGAATAAACCCTTCCCAGAAAGGGGGGGAGAGGAAAGTAAACAAACTAAGTTTTGACTTCGTCAGGCGCTTCTTCCTTTATTCATCCGAAATGAATATTCTGCATTCAGCAGCATAGGCTAAATATCAAATATTTGTATGTTGCATCTCTAATTTTGTAGCAACAATTGCTGTTTACTTTTTAAAATTTAATTTTTTTTAATTCTAATTTTACATTGTTGAGCATAATCTTGTATGTCTTTACACTTTAAAAACTCCTTGAAAAAGTTTTTTGCAATAACAGGACCCTATTTGCACAAATTCACAAAAGCAGGACCCTGGTTGAAAGAATGTAACTTAACGTTTATTTTATATTCACAAATACTCGAGTAATTTTTTCACAATTTTTCAAAAATGGACCTTTCACAAAATGTCTGGACATACTCCTTATATATATATATATATACAGACATACATATATATATATATATATACACATGTAGTGAAACCTCCAGAAAGGACTCTCTTTAGCGACCTCCCCTTTTAGAGGCATGGATTTTTTTTTTCATAGACTTTGTGTTGAAGAAAGCCTTTCGGAGAGACCATCAAAACCTCCTCCAGTGACCTGGCAAACCTTTGCACCCAATGTGGAGAAGGTCAAATAAGGAAACACAAAAATATCAAAACAAAAAATATTAACAAAAAGAATAAGTAGATTCAAATGTATTCAAAATATTTGTGAGTGGCTTTCATTTAGAAAGCTCTTTTTTACGATATCTGAAAGAAATCGACAATTTCATGTTGCAGAAAGAGGATACTATCAATGATTTATTTTTAGAGTTGAAAGTTAAATTAGAAAAAAAAGTTATTTTAGATAAAAACTCACCATCTCAAACAAACCTCTTCTAATTTTTTTAAGCTAATTTTTATGATATAAAATTTAATGCTAACTTAAACAAAAGCTTAATTATTTACTTATTTCAAATAGCTCTATCATTCAAAAGTGGTAAAAATTTTTTTACACATAATTATATTGAAGGGCATTTTTATTGTTGTTGATTTTATCCATCAATCCGGTTTTCATGATGCCAACGCAAATGGATTTTCTGCACCTAGAAAATGACACTGAGTAGAATTAAAATTGCTTGCCGAAAATCATGTACCCTTGATAACATTTTGACGATAATAAAGGTAAACCTTAAGAACGACCAACCTCCATTGGCGACCATTTTACTGTGGAATGAAGAGTAGTCACTCCCGAGAGGTTTCTCTGTATATAATATTTCTCTCCTGAAGGATTTCTAACTGTTTTGTACTACTTTAAGCCCCTTTTAATTTATTCTATATATTTTATAAAGTTTAATTTAATGTTTAGGTTTCTGAGAAAGTAACTGCTATTTTCATAATTTTCTGCTGCAACTATTTATTAAAAATACAAAGAAATTAATTTATTAAGTTTAAAATTATGGAGATCTTTAGCATAATTATTTTTATTGCAGATAGTGAAGAAGAAAAGTTAACTCGATTAGATATTCTTGGAAAAAAGAAAGACTCTAAGAAAGATAAAGGTTACAAAGTATTTGAAGGTGAAAGCTCTGATGAAAATTTGGATGAATCAAGGTATGTTTTTGTTATTTGATTCTGCTATATATTGATTTGTTCAAGCAGAGAATTTCAGGAATATTTTTACATTTAAAATAGGTGCACCTGACCATCTAACAGAAAAATGCTGAAATGTAAACTAGTAAAAATAAAGTTCTGTAAATAATTTGAGTTTTGAAATAACTTGAAGAAAAAAAATGAAATTATTTTAATCTTTTAATTTTACAAACAGAAAAAAAAGTTTGATAAATTTTTATTTTTAGATTCTTTTAGTCATCGGGGGAAATTATTTTTATTGATTCATAAAATAAATCCTTCTCTTTCTCCTAGTAACTGCTTTACTCTTAAGCTTTTATGAATTTCGAATCAAAAACGCATCCTTAGTTTATACGTTCACTGATTTAAATTTTTACTTATCAGCAGTTCTGTGGATAGAACGTGATAATTTTATTTTTAAAATTCTCATCTCAATTGATCATTCACATAAAAAACTCACGTCATTTTCTACCTACAAATGGTCCTGCACACATTTTTTCGGCTGAAACACCTGCCTATCTAGAATTAAATTTGAGAAAAATTCCTAATACCACGGTTTTCTGCTAAGAAGGTAGAAGAAATAATGTTGAACCAATAAAAATGTGTGAATATTTGAAGGCAGTAAAGATAAAATGTCAAACTTCCAGCTGGTTAAAGTTGGTTTAAATAATTGGTAGAATATACATTTAATAACTTTTTCTTAACTCTTTATTTAAAACTAAAGTGTATGCAATGTTTTCAATTTTAAAATTGAACACCAAAATGTGCTTTCTTGAATAAACTTATCTCCTTTTAAAACAATTGTCTTTCAATTTGTCAATTTATACTTTCAATGAACTTTTCACTTATGAGGATAAATCACTTACTAAATAAATTAAGGATTTATATTGAAAATTTTCATTGTTTATTCTGATTTTATTTGCCAATTTTTAAAAAAAGGTGTGTATGAGTACTTTTGCCCAGCAAATAATAGCAGAAAATTTATTACACTATAAAAATACTGTCGAACTAAGTAATTTAAATACATAGTGAATACATAAAATTCTTATTGCTGATCAGAATTTTTGCAAAAACTGACCGTGCACAAATAGTTAAAATAATGTATCAATAATACTTGAAAATTTGTAATATCTCAGTTGTCTGAATAATTGTATGTTTACGTCTGTATGTGCTTCTATTTGCAAATGTATAGTAAACTATATAATACTTCTATTAAAGATTTGGAGATTATATCATATGTAAGAAATACAGTGTAATGTCTCATATCCTGACGTCCCTTTTCTGGAAGGATCGATTTCCCGGACACTTTTTAACAATCAAAATAAACATCTCTTCATCTTCCCCTTTCTTTTTTTAAAAAAAAGGTCTTTTGACGCGTTTTCTCTTTTAGAACACTGAACCAACACCTATCTTGGTGGTGATGACTGAACCCATAGATCACAAAGGGGAACAGAAGATCTACCAAGACCATTGAGTGACCATTAATGACGCTCCTACTCTGGAATGCAGGAAAAAGAGGGAGATTTGTTTTCAAAAGACCGCAACTACGTCCCCTCCCCCCTCTTTTCCTATGCAGCTGGCTAATAAAAGAGGCATTTCCTGGAGCCTTTTTATTGAAAGAAAAGGGTAAACGCAGCAAGCGTTAACGTGGAGGGGGAGTCTAAATGGAACATTTGAATAGGTCTAAAAGGATACACGTCCTTGAGAAACATTCCTTCTTCCCCATACCATGTAATATTTAGGAGGCGGGGGAAAAAAGGGGGTAACAGTCTTTCTTTAGCAGATTCTTTCAGTCATACAAGAAAAAATAAAGAGAACCCCATCAGCGTGCCCCGTCTTTATGCTTGATTGATAGCCGGTGATTGGAGAGAAAACAATAATTTGTCACTTCCCTGCCCTCAACTTGAATGATCTCCTCTCTACACTTATTTTCTTTCACAAATAAGGCGGAAATGAATTTTTCTCCTCCACCTACCCACCTTAATGAATGACGGGAATTTCCCTTTCTTGCTTAAATCGTTCTAGTTAAAAATGGCGGATTATTATTTTCACATCTGTCAATTTTTTTTTCGTTTTCTATATTTTAAGCTATTTTTTTTCTTCTAATATTTCATATTTGATTGATTGGATAATCTAATACTAGAACATTATTCCCCTTAAAAAATAATGTTTATTTATTTTTGCTTCTTAGATTTAGATCATTTTAAGCTTTGTTCCAGAATGAAGTGAAATTCCCCTTCCTTCTTGAATCGTTCTAGTTCAAAATGGCGGATTAATATTTTCATAACTGTCAAATTTTTTAGTTTTCTATATTATTAGCAATAATATTTTTTTTCTAATACATATTTTATGTTTGATTGATTAGATATTCTAATACTAAAACATTATTCCCCTTAAAAATAATGTTTATATATGTTTTGCTTCTTAGATTCAGATCGTTTATTAGATCATTTTAAGCTTTGTTTACCTTGGGGGTCAATTATACAAAAAAATTTATTATACGGACTTCTGGAAGTCCCACCGATTCCAGATACGCGACCTTACTCTGTTATATAAAATGAACATCGATGTCAACTTGTATGGTAATTAATTAAGACTTTTCTTACATAGTGGTAGCAAAATAATAACTGCTGAATTAGGAAAATTTTTCAACAAATTAGCCTATGTACTTTGCCAACAGTTAACAGCTTAACTATTACAGGGCTTATAATTAATGGTGATCCATTGGCCGCTAACAATTAACTCAGACCACCATAAAATAAATTATCAGTGATCTACTTGACCAGCAATCTATGTAAAAGAATGATGATGTTTTGGTTTTTTGATTTCTGATCAATGACTAAATTTTCTTAATTTCTACCTAATCTTGCATGCACATTTTTGAAATATTGATTAATCATAGTAGGCAAAAAAATAATCTTTTTTCAAATTTGAAAAACAAAATGTATAGTTGAACATGCATATAATGTTAATGCTAAGAATAATCTTCCTCAGGGATCCTACAAATTTGAAGCAATGTTTTTATCAAATGCAATGCATATCAAAACTGAATTTAGCATCAACTAACACTGGGTGATTTAAAACATTTTAAATCATGATCTATCCTGAGTTAGGCATAGTGATATGTCACAAAATTATATGCTTTCAAATAGATTTTATGATACAAAAAGTCAGGTTTGATTTGAAACCACACAATCAGAAATCTTAAATTGAAAAAAAAAAAAAAAACTCACATAAAGGAAAGATAAATATAAAGAAAGATTGATTTTAAAGCATAGCTTTAGCTAAAGCATAGCTTTAAATAAAAAAATAAAATTGGATTGATCAAGGTTTGTTTTAATTTTTTTTTTTAAATCAAATGAATTAAAAATTTATTGGTTTAAAAATAATAGAATTCTATCAAAATATTTTACATACTTTAAAAGAAATTGTTTAAAAGTAAAAAAAGATAGATTAAAAGCAAAAGTTCTGTATTTTTTAATAAAACAATGTTTTCAATTCGATTTTTTTTTAATTAGATGATGAGTAACTTCTTAAGAATATGCATGTTACAGGCTATTGAAATATTTAAGTAAAATTTTAAATATTACCTTTACAAATAATATTTCCTTCAATTATGTATATAATAAAACAATTTAAATAATCACATATGATTAACTATCTGATCATATGAATTATTAATATGAATCTATTAATATGAATTGATTGGTTCAATTTATGAAAATAATATATACGCATTTATCACAAGTTTAAGACATATATGTTCAGAAATTTTTTTTTTTTCAAAATAAGTTAAATTAAACGTTGTGAAATTTCCATGACAAATATTTCTTTAGAAAATACTACTTTATATTGCATGAAAAATTTGATTAAAAGTAATGAAAACTTTAAAAAAATTAATTTAAATACTTCCAATACAGTAATAGGATGTTCAACATTTTCTAAAAATAATTAATGCTTGTATTTTATATACAAAACCATTAATTTTCTGGGTTTTTCATATTCTAGTTTATTTCTAATTTTTGAGTGCACTTAGCCAGGTGTAGAAAGTGGAAAATAAACTTCTCACTGAAGCAAAAGTAAATAACTGCTTTACTGCTTTTTCTTTGTATGCTTCATAAAAATTAGAATGTCAAGTATCCCTTCTATTTTTCAATGAGGGACGTTTCAGATACAATACTTTCTCAAAGATATTCATCGAAATAATCTACTGTAGCTAAGAATTTCATAATTAATTCTATGAAATTGCTAGAATATTTCTCATTTGCTTGATCAGAACAGAGACAGAAGTAAATAACTGCTCTATTTTTTCTTCATACGCTTAATAAAAATTGGTATTACAAATATGTCTATCACTGTTTCACAGGATACGTTTGAGATACAACAACTTTCTCGAAGATGATCATAGAAAAGATCTGCCCTAGCTATGAATTTTGTAATTGTTATGAAATTGCTAGAATATTTCTTCTTTACTTGGTTAAAATCTTTCTTCTTTTCATATTCATTTAGTTTTTATCTCAAAAATATGAATGAATCAATCTTATTAGCTAGGAAATAGTTATAAAAGAAAGATAAAAAAAAGTAACTTACGTGTTGAATAAGAAAAGGTAATTTTTTTTTTCTTTTTGTATGTTGTGAAAAACATTTCTGATAATAGTATGATGATGATAACTAATGTAAAGAACATTTCTGATGCTACTGAAACAGAATCCTTAGGGAGTAAGGTATTTTATTGTCACTAAACATGGAAAGTTTTAAAATAGCTTCCCTTTCTCCGAAAATTATGCAAACTTGTTGATACAGATTTTATTTTACGTACATGACTTATAGGAAATAGGTTTACATTGTATTGAATTTTGCAGAAAACTGATAAATAGTTACATGTTAGACACAAATCTTTTAAAATTTAAATTAGCAATTTTTTTAAAAATAATCCAAATTGGTTATATCATGATTTTAATTATGATTTAAATGAATGAACCCTAAATAAAATATTAAGTTAGATTCCCGAATTCCAAAAGAAAATGTAAATTAATGTGGGCTTTATTTTAATTTTTTGAAAATAAAAATAACTACATATAAACAAGTTTGAAAATAACAATAAAATTCTAAAAAAAATATTTAACTTTGCGTGCATTGAACAAAATGTTTAAAAAACTTAAAGGAAAGGGAATAATAAGATAAAATAAATAGTTGTAGGTAATAATAGTATTTAAAAAAAAAAGAAACACCGCTATCAAAAAATTGATATATTTCTTATAGATAAAAGAATTAAAATTATTGACTTATGGCAGAATTTTAAGAAGAAGAAAAATGAGTGCAAGCTGAATATTAATTTCTTATAAAAAAAACCAACTAAGAATTTATTAATTTAAAAATAATGAATTTTATTATAAAACTATATTCACATACAATGAAAACGTTTTCTTTCTTTCTTTCTTTTTTTTTTTTGAAAAAGAGAAGGGGGAAGAAACAAATTTAATACAACAAAGTATATTTAAATACAAAATATTACTGTTAAATAACTCTTTAAAATAAAAAAGGATTGAAGGAAAACCCTTTCAATCATGCAAACATATACCATGCATAAAACAGTACTAATAAAAATCATATCCTCTGCTACGAGGCATTTATGGTAGAAAACAAAAGTAATATTTGAATTCATAAAACAAAAAATTGAATTCATAATAGTAATACTGACTATTTATGAGTAATGTTCAAAACTGCTGTGAATTTCCATAGTTTTCAAATAAATATATATATTTACTATACTTAATGGATCAAAAAATAGACAATAAACAATTAAATAGACAATATAATACAATAGTTTGGCAAATAAAAGAAGCAGAAGTATAAAAAGCAGACTAAAACAAAAATGCCTGTAACTAATGCATGCAAATAAGTGAGCCAAACTTTCTTCTTTTCCTTTAACCATTGCACATTTTTTATGTTTTTTCATTATATAAATGTGTTCTTTCTGATTAGAATATTCATAACTACTAACATTTAAATCGATAAAATCTGTATTTGTTTTCTCTTTTTATTGGATAATAAAAAAAATTCAATTCAAACTGTTCTACGTTAGCTGGAACATTACATATTGCAGCATAAACAGTACTTAAAGTTTAGGTTTGCTGTGAGTATAAATTGATATAAACTCATAAAAAAATCTTGAAACATAAACAAAATAGTAACGGCTCTGAAAAATGCTGCATCTATGTTGTCTTTCCTGAGTCACACTGGCTTATAATATTTTTAAACATTTTACTGACTTGTATTAAGGTAATACTCTAATGAAAAATCAAATAGCTACCTACTTATTCATTATCACAAAAGGTAATCAGTCTTCTTCATTGGACCAAAGGCTATTATTTTTACTTCTTTAATATTTACATAACATAAATATAACATATAAGCTGCGGTACACATAGTATGAAAGGTTATAATTACAATAATATGTGCAAAACTATAAAACTGTTTAAATTGATACCAAAATATTTGACCCAATGGTACCAACTTTTCCCTAATTCCCCAAAGTCTATAAAAAATATCAAAAGTTGGAATATCAAAAATTCTTATATTGTACACATAGAGAATATAATTTTAAATTAAACTAATCAATCAGAGTGATTAAACATTAAAAAGTGAGATTTAAATTCTTAATTTTTATTTTCTATGGTCTCTAAATTATATTTTTGAGTTGTAATTTTTTTATTGATACTTTTATTCTACTTCCTTTACTTATTATTATGAGAAGATTTTTATTGTATTATTAAAATGTTCAGTTATTTTTGCTTGCAGAAGTCCTGGAAAAAGTAAAAAGAAGTCCTTTAAATTTCCTGGAAAAGATCGCAAAGAAAAAAGTAAAGTAAAAGAGAAAAAAGAGGAAAAGCTAAGCAAAAGGAGTAGCAAAAAAGAAATTAGAGATAGTAAAACTGATATAAAGGATATTGAAAAAGTTAAGAAGAAAAAAGAAATTAATTTAATTAAATTAAAACACAAGAAAAAGAAGAGTGTTACTCAGGATGCAAAAGGTATAAATTTTGAAAATATTATATGTCAGCAAAATATTTATCTTTAAATACCAAGCATGGATTAAATGTACTTTTACTAAATTCTTAAGAGCTGATTAAATCAATAAATACTTTTGCTTAATCAAATGAACTCCAGATAGTTAAAAGATAAAGCCATAAAAATTCAATTATGAAAACATCATTTTTTGACTTTACAAATAATAAAATTAAAATAAAGCTATTGGATTTACTCAATACTTAAACTTTTATTCTAGGTATACCATTCTCTTATTCAACAAATATATGTTTTTAAGGTCTCCTTCAGACAAAATGAATTCCATATTTCTAGATTTACAGATTTTTCTGTCCCATTTTAAGTATGCATTGGTTTTTTTAGGAGGTTATCAGTTAGTTACCTAACTGCATTCATATTTTACACTTTATTATTAGCTTGTCTAACCTCTGAACACCTAGAAGAATAGAATGGAGAACTCTAAGTTGAATATATTTAAAATTATGTGTGAAATGTGTTATGGTGGCAAGTAAAATCAAGAATAGAATTCATTGCTAGAAAAGTGTTTTATTGTGTCTTGCAAATTGTTAATTATATATAACATAAAAAGCTTTGATACAAAAATTTTATGTTATTTCTTTGTCTTAATTCTCTTTTTTAAGTTAGTAATTCACATCTGCGTTTTTAGCTCTAAATTTAGATCAAAATGCAATAATTATCATAATAAGTTTTTTTACTTAAAGGAAAATGAAATCCTGCGAGAAACGTTTCACAAAGTATTCTAGCCTGTTTTAACTGTTAAATTATTCCTTGTTAAATTATTCCTTATTGGGGATAACCTGTAAAATTTTTACTTTAAAATCCTGAGCGTATACGTCAGTGATGCACGTCATTTTCAATTTGATTCTGATGCTTTCTCTACTATTAAAAATTATTAAATAAAATACTTCACTTTTTCCATGCGCAATGCTTGTATTTATTCCTAGCTTAGACAGACTGCAATACCATCTTATTTATATGTGTGTGTATCAATTATATTCATAAATATATATCAATTATAAATTGCAGAAAAAAGAAAAATATAAGATTTAATTACTTTTAAATAAAATAAATCACTTAAATTTTAAAATATTTTTTGCAGAGCTTTGAAGTACACAATGAGCTGATAAACGGTGTTGAAATATTCGCATGCACAGAAATTACATTATCATTTGGACTTTCGAAATACTTTTAAGAAAATAAAGATTAATCTCCATAGTTTCAAATTTTTTAAAACACAGTTTTATTTAATTTTAAAATTCTTTTCATCACTTTTAAAATAAGGCTCTTCTTTAAGTTTCTTTCATAAATTTTCTGTATTTTGTTTCTGTAGAGGAAAAACCTATATTCGGTATACCTCTTCACGTGGCAGTTGAAAGAAATAAAACTCGTGACGGTGTTGAGTTACCTGTCATCATTCGAGAATGTATAGATTATATAGAAGAACATGGTTTGTACATTTTATTTTTGTCATTGGTAAATAATTCAGTTAGTCCGAAACTTAAAATACTTATTTTAATTATTTATATAATTTAGGTTTAGCCTGTGAAGGTATTTACCGAATCTCTGGATTAAAATCCAAAGTGAGGCAATTAAAGGATCAATACAATCGTGGGGAAAAAGTATATATGTATGAGCATGAACCTCATGTTGTCGCAAGTTTGGTAAAGCAATATTTACGTAATCTTCCAGAACCAATTCTGACTTCAGAATTAGCTCCAAAATTTGAGGAGGCTGCAGGTTAGTTAATTTTAATTTTCTTTCATAGTATAGTGTGAAAATGTTTAGAATATGTGAGTCTTTTTCTTAACCCTTCAATACCAATGATGCACATATGTGGTGACAATTTTTTTTCTTCCGGTTTTTAAGCAATTTTTAATATGTGATCTGTGTTTATTATTAAATTATGGTGGTTGTTTGCTATAAATCCTACTGCTTGTAAAAAAGTTATATTTTTGTTTATTACTTGTCTTTTATTTAACATTTATTTAAAAATCTTTCATTTCCTTTAGTCTTTACTATTGTACTATACTGTACTATAGTCCATTTGTTGCCTAAGACAGACAAACATACATTTTCTTTTTTTAAAAAAAATATAAATGTTTGTTTGATATCAGAACAATTTTAGTGTTTTATGACTCATTTATCTGATATGTACATGTGCATACTTGGCAATGCTCTTACTTTTATTACAGGTAATAAAAGTTGTAATAAAATATACATATTTTTACATGTACTTTGTTTATTACTTTTGCTTGTACTTTTGTTACATGTTTAGAGCATAACTGCAAGTATTTGTAACCAGAGTATAAATGAAAATTGTTAAATTTTTCAAATTTTTTTTAATGATTTTCTCAACAAAAAAATAAATTTTCTAAAATTTTTAAAATTAATAAATTTTTTAAATTACTAAATTTAATATTTTTAACTATAAATATATATAGCTGTAAAAGATAGCTTTATCTATGACTTAAACTACAAATAAATACAGTTTCAAATAAAATGTATTCACTCATAGTTTTTGTGAATCTGTCCATGACACTTCAAAATAAATAGAAGACTATGGGAGAAGGACGATTTATGTCCATAAAAGTTGATTCAGAGGAAAAATAATTTTGCACACGAAAAGGACTGGTTTTTCCCCAGTTCAGCTCCTTTTCACTGTGTAAAAACTCTCGAGGAAAACCAATTTTTCATTTATTGTTATGTGAAGGCTTAGTAATCCTCAAAATGCAACAGATTTGTTATTTTTGTGATAAATGGAAATTAATCATTTTTGCCCTCTTGGTCTTCAATTGTTGGTAACTGTAACATAAGTCTTTATTGTATTGTAAGTGCAAATTGTGTCGTCACTGTAACATTAATAGCAATAAAGCCTGCTAAATTTTAAATTAAGCTTTCCTCGGTAGTGTATAAAAAGAGTTTGCAAGCTGACATTGCAAAATTATTTGTTGATTTTTATGAGATTTTTACTATTCATCAAATTAAACTGGTTAGGTATAGCTGTTGAGCAAAATTGGAAAAAAATTGTTGAAACTGAAAGTTCTGCTTATCCTGACCATGATGTTTTAGAAAAAAGTTTGGCACATTACTGAAGCTGAAAATATCACCTCTCTCACCAGCTACTGAAAAGTTCAGAACAAATATAACCCCCTAGATTGACATGGAAAACATATCAATTTTGCATCTATCTATAAAAATTTTTACATCATCATCATAAAATATTCTTCTATGCCTTTTAGTGTTCCATGCGGAGAATTAATTCAGTGTTACAAAATATGTTTTAAGAAATTAGGAAACCATTGTTTTTCAAAATTAATAAGAATGTCTTATAAAGTTTTTTTTATGTGTTTAATCAGTAACTGTTTATATTTGTGCGCTCACATTTTAAATAAAAGTTTGTTACTTTGAATTAACAATTTTTCTTAGTATACTTAAAAATTTTTAAGTTTTTGTTTTGTATTTTTAATTCACTTTTGCTTTAAATGGTTGTTTTTTTATTTTTATTTTTAAAAGTGTCATTCTTAAGTATGTATAGTGCACAAGAAAAGTGGACCACCCTGCATAACTTTTGATCTAATGATCAAATCTACATATTCTATAACTCAATTTTAATGGCTCGGTGGAAATGAGCTAGCTGACGAAGCAGCACAGGCTGGCTCTAATGCAATTTTCTGGGGCCCTGAACCTGCGCTGGGAATTTCTCCCTCCTCATTTAGGGCAACCATATTCAAGCTCTACGGCAAGATCGCCCATGAGCAGTGGCGCGCTGCTGACGGTCAAAGACAAGCTAAGGAGCTGAATCGAGACTGTCCTAGTGTACGTCAAAAGGAGCTCTTAAAGCTTAACAGAAACAGTATAAGGAAGATCATTGGTCTTCTTACTGGTCACTGTATCCTCAGAAGACACCTAAACATTATGGGAATTGAATCAAATTCTCTTTGTCGGGGATGTCATCTAGAAGAAGAGACATCACGACACATACTCTGTGATTGTGAGGTCTATTCTGCTCAAAGATTTGAGCATTTAGGACAGCATATTGTCAATGCCTGGGAACTGCAAGATGTTCCTGTAAGGTGCTTGCTGAATTTTATTTCAGCCATAGGGCTTTCATGCTAATCATGATTTTAGGGTTTTGGTACAATAGACCTCTGGTCGATGTGCCCTGCTCGTCAGAGCTGCCCAACCTCTAAGTCTAATGGCTCGTTACAAAATTGGATACAAAACATGAATTCTCTGGATAAACGTACCTTTTTTATGATAGATTCAGATTTTTGAGAGCGATCCAAAGTGGACTCCTTAATGTTAATTTACTTTTTGCATATTTCGCCATATCTTTTTGAGATATTTGAAAAAATTTTGCATGCAATTATAAAATTTGAATATCCAAAGATAATTCCATACAAAAAATAACCTTTAGTAAATATTCATTATTTTTTATTATTTTATTTAATAATAGTCAAAAAAATTTTATTATAAGGTATGAAATTCTTTACATTATTTTAAATGGCAAAATATAAAATAGGTCAAATAGTTCCCGAGAAATTTAATTTTAAAAAAGTTGTCTATTTAAAATTTGAGTTAATTATTCCAAAAAACATATAATAAAGAGAATTGTAATCATTAGAGATGTAACAAATATTCGGCTACTATTCGACAAAGTGTTTTTTGGCAAAGTTTTTTTTTTGGGGGGGGGGAATTTGAATAGAAATAAAGAATAATCTAAAATTGTATTTTTTACAATACTTAGTTGGAAATAGTTTTTACACATATTTGGTAAGTTCTAAAACTTGTTACATTATGTTTTGAAAGACAATGGTAAAACCAAACTTAAAGAATTGAAACTAGATTACTTTATACGGAACTATAAGTTTGATACTACTGATTGTTTTTTAAATTATATTCAGGCAAGTCTATTTTTTCATTTTTTTAAAAGAATTGTAACTTTTTTTTTTGTTTGTTTCGTTTTTGCTGTTTTTTGTATTTATTGCACAGCATTTTAATCCAGTTTTTCTTGTAGACTATTTTTTTGCTGCCACCTTCTTCCTGTATGGTAAGACAGATAACAAGTAACCTAGAGGAATGTGATTCTCAAAGTTAAACTTACATTTCAGAACTAAGAAGTTTTGCTCTTTTTGTAAACTTTTTTTTTTCATCAAGCATTTTTATTATAACACAGTGATTTCTAATGAGTGTTATTTTTTTATGACGACTTTTTTCTAAAAATATGTTTTTGTAAAAAAGTAAAATAGAGATTTTTAACGTTTAAATTTTATGTTTGAAAAGTAAGAAAATTTTTTATTTTGGTTTCTTTCTAGCTTTTGCTTTTTTTAAAACTTTTGTTTTTATTATGATGTGGTTATCAAGAGGATTTCCATTAAACATTATTCTTCACTTTTTTGATAATACGATAATTGGGAAATTGAGATGTTTAGCTTTTAAATTTTCTTTCAAAAATTATAATTGCGTTTTATTTTTTTCCATTTTGCTTTTGTATATAATCTTTCTTTATGTGTGTTTTTATGATACCACTGCATTTTTGAAAGCGTTTCTGATACACTGTATTTTTTGGAAATTATTATTTTTGTTTTAAGAATTAAGACGATATTATCTCTGTTTCCCTTTTTCTTCTTCAATCTTTACCATTTTAGTTTTTTTTAATTCAGTTACTCAGTTTTTTTAGTATCTTAAATATTTCTATTATAATTTTTTCTTCCTTTACCTCATACCAATAATATTGCTAAATTTTGATTATTTTTCAAAAATGCCTTAATTTATTTACCTATAAAACTATTTATATGTATATATATATTTATATATGTATATATATATTTATATTAAATTTACTAAAAATAATATTCTTATTGATATAATCTTTTTATGACGCAAACTTATCAACATCAAAACTTAAAATAGTTCTGAATTTAGAATACAATTAATAGGTTTGTTTATGACCATGTTTATAATTTTATTTCAGTTTGCTTTGCCTCCTTTCTTAATATAAAAATAATTACTGTTCAAGGAAACAAAAAAGAATTATTGAATGAACAAAAAACAATGTTATTNTATATAAAATATTAATAATATTTATTAATGATTTAAAAAAAAAATTGCTATTCGGTCGCCAAATATTTGGTATGCGGCCAATTTCTTTGGCTAAATATTTGGTCAAATCACTATTTATTACATTCCTAGTAATCATCATATTTCCAAAAATGGTTTAAATTCAATTAGACCTCTAAATTTATCTATTGTATTTTGGACATTTAATTTAAAGAACATAGTCCAATAACAGTGTAATAATTCTTTTAAGAATAGTCATAATTTTAATATGTAGTCTAGAAAAAATTAATTTCCCCTCAAATTATTATTATTTTTCTTTTAAACAATATTGAAATTTTTACTGATTGCAGAATAGTAGGACTTTTATCAATTTAATGAAACATCAATGTTCTGATTCTCATTGGTTAAAATCTACTGAGTTAAATAATTTTTCTATGCAAGTATTTCTTTTTAAGTTTATTGCTTTTAAGCGTTTGCTAATCCAATTGTAAATTTTTTATAATAATTATTTTTATCAATTAAAGCTTTGAAAAATGGTCCATTGAAAGTAGAATCTTTAAGAAAGTTGCTTCTTCAGCTTCCAACTTGCAATCAACACCTCATATCTTGGATTGTTATCCATATGTTGCATGTAATATCTATGGTAAGTGGTACTATTGTTTAATTTATTCCTTTAATACTTTTTTAATGATGCATGAAAAACTTAAAATCTCAAATTATTGATTTACTAGTTTCAATGCTTTAGTTTTGCTTTGAACATTTGACTTTTATATTCCTTTTTTATAATTCATTCACAGATGATCATCATCTAATTTATGTATATGCTTTTAATGTTCGCCACTGATTCATGTGACGAGCCTGGCTTGCTGGTAGCACAAACCATGATTAATAAGAAAGAAAGCCCAGTTGAGCCCAATAAGAAAGGAACAAAAAAAAAAAAAAAAAAAAAAAAAAAAAAATTNAAAAAAAAAAAAAAAAAAAAAAAAGAAAGTAAATTTTGATTCATGTGTGTTCTCTTTGAGCACCAATATAATGCTATGTCTGTGGGTGGTGTTGCAACATGCAACAGTAGAATGTCATATTTATGAATAGTACTGAGATATTAGTCCCAAAGAATGTGAAAAAAAGAGATGGAAGACAGATCATTTGACATATTTATTGGTCTAAGATATTACATGTTTTGTGGTAGATGAATTTTGAAAATGTCGCCAAAGATGTTCAAAGATTCCACCATTTCTAGTAATCCATGCATTATACCATGCGGCCATGGATTGACTGACTCGCTCAAATACACTTGGATTTTATTGGATATCTGCTGTAACTTAGACGATTCTTGCAACTACAGGTGTTACATACGTAGTACATTTCAGTGCATCTCGGGGACAGAAATCCATTATACTTAAATCATGAGAGCGTGGTGGCCAAGAAACCGATCCAGTACACCCAATCCTTCTTGTGAGCAACGTAGCTGCAAATAACAAAGTTCCCAAATCTTGGTTCCTATGCAAATGTGAATCCTTGTGATGTCCCCTACCTACCTTTAAAGTTTTCCCAGTAATTCTGGAGCACCCTGATGTGTGTGTTTTAATGTGGTAGTACTAACAACTCTTATAGACATTTTTTGAAGCAAACTTCTATTTGTATAACTTTTGAATAATGATAAATAAACAAAATCAGATATAGAGTATTTAATGTTATTTTTGCTCAGAGGTCATTCTTTGCTTAGTTTCATTCTTTATATTATATATCAGAGGTTCAATTGAGTTAATATGTTGCAAAACTTCAAATGTAACTGTAATTTTTTATTGTTTATTAACGGAGAAACATTGAATGTTTCAAAGCAAAAATGTAAAAAATTAAATTTTATCATTTTTGCTCGTGCACTGTTTCACATAAGCTCAAAATACTGCTTCTAATTAGTCCCAGAGAGAGTTTGACATTAGCCCCAAATACTCTTTTATAATAGCCTCCTCGCCTTGTATTAGCCTCCTCGTCTTGTATTAGCCTCCTCGCCTTATATTAACCTTGGTAGCTTGTGACTTAAGTTTTCAAGTTTTAATGGTATCAAATGTGCACTGACTCTGAATAAATTCCTACGTGAATTATTTATTTAAATTATTATTTAAGTTTTGCAGGACAGAATTTTTTAATTCTATAAATAGTATGATTCACTGCATTACAAAATAACTTTTATCAAGTCAATTACAAGCATAGTTTATGAAAGCAAAACATTTTTCAAGTATGAAAAAGTACCACTGGTTTTAAGAATTGCATCAGACATAGCAAATTTACATACATTTCACCCTTTTGAAATACATGTCTAATTTATAATATATAATTAAATATACTTATTTTATTAATGTTGGTCTTTTTGACATAATTAATCCTTTATTTAGCAGTCATTCTTACTCCTTTTTCTTTTTATTCCAGGAAAAAAGAAATAAAATGAATTTGCAAAATGTATATATTGTTTTAAGTCCTACAATGCAAATTAGTCACAATATTTTGCATGCTTTTTTTAATAACAGTGATGTCTTATTTTCTGGTGTTGAAATAAAAAAGTAAGTCATTTATCATTACTAATTGTTAGCTAAAAATTATTTATTCTGATTTTGCTGTTACTTTTTCATATAAAGATATGTTCCACCCATCGATCTGGACAGTAGTTTAGAATTACCAGATTCACCTAATTCAATTGCTAAAGAACTTTCTAAGCAAGAAAATGTTCTTTCTGTCCTTCATGCTGAATTAAACACTGGCTTGAGAGATCACCAAAAAGAAGAGCAACTGTGGGAAATTCAAAGAGTTGTAACTCAACTTAAACGAAAGGTACCATGCTTTATTTCTTCTCAATTTTTATATTAGGTTTCTTAAGATTATGTGACAAGTTTGGATAAAGATTGAGCCACAAAATTGTTAGGAGAAACTAAAAAAATATGTGTACAAATTTTTTTTATACCTTATATCATAAAAATAGCATCTTTGCTTACAAAATCAAGATTTTTTTTAAAAAATTAAGCTTCATATGAATTGATGAATGCAGTATAGTTAAATGTACTAAAAAGATACATTTTTAAAGTCTAAGTTATTAGTTATGTTTATGCTTGCATTTTTATTTTTAACATTGATGCAAAAACTTTTTGTGAAAAAAAGTTTTAAATTTTCCATGCATTTTTTCATTAAAACAAATTATCAGAAACTGATCAATTTCTTCATTATGACTTTTTAATAAATTTATTTAATGTTATATGTGTAGAATTTTTTTTCCATTTGCAGATCTATCTTACTTCCTCTCAATTACAATTTTCATATTTCCAAATAACTATTGCAACTAATTTAATATATATTCCTATATGAAATTAATTTTTAAAACATATTTTTATTAAATTCTTGTTGACAAAAGGTCATAGTGTCTTACATATCTAGTCTAAATCCAAAACTACATCCACTGATCCCATGGAAGTTAACTGACAGTCAAAATTAAAAATTGGATTTTTGAAGGTTACCATAGATTAGATTTTGCTTTTTAATTTCATCCTACCTTATACCACTTATAACATTGGCTTGAAGTCAACTAAACTTAACATGTGCTAATAGCTTGTTAAAGTAATTTTACATGTTCAGTTGTTTGATTTTTTTTATGATTTTCATAATATTTTTTTGCTGAGAGCTTGTGTTTTATGTTACAATCCATTAATAACAAAATTGTTTGTTGTTTGATCAAAGCTCTTTTTAGCCTATGAGATGTCAAAACTTGAGTTATTTGTTCTTCATACAAATGATATTGTTTGCAATTCTGACCCCATATAACAGTAAATTAGTAAAAAACGGAAAAAACCTTCATATACTTCTTAAAATATGGAGAGTTGTAATTGCACAACAGCAGTGGAAATGGAGTACCAATGTTGAGAAAATTCACTCGAAACTGTGTTCCAGTTTTTTAGATAATTAACTGATACTAAAGCTTCTCAATTTTATTCAACTTTAGAAAGGCATATATCATTTTACTTGAAATTAAAATGCATTATTTTTAGTATATTAAGTCAGTTGAGAGCATCAAACTTGAAATGTTACACTGCACGTGTAATGTAAAACTTTTTAAACACAAATGTTGTGCTGTTAAATATACCAGCTATGGCAATGCTTACTTCTGCAGCATATGTTATTTTTATACTTTATTACAAAATTAGCATGACTTAATTTCTAATAACCTTTACAGGCTAGATTTACTTTATTTTCCTGTAGCTAATTTGAACTTTCAAAAAGTGTTTCCAATAAATGTGATATAAACAAAAATTGAAATTTTATGGCAACAAAATTCTTAACATTTTATTAGCAATTTCTAAATTTAATGTCAATATAGTTTATAATTATTACTCCAAAACATTTTTAATTTTCAATTCTAAAATTTGTGAACATGTTGTGGATTTAATCACCTCTGTTCTTTTATTTTTCCCTGTTTTAAGTTTTTTCATGGATGTGAGATTTTGTTCTATTAGTCCTTCTGGCATATGAAATCTTACTTATATAGATTTTAATACTTGAAAAATGAAAAAAAAAACATTCACAGGCAATGGAAATGAACTCTATATCCTTTTTCTGTTGTCTTTCCTGCAAACGAAATATATGTTTTCTGTTCCTGCTGTTCTTACAAAAATAACTGATTTATGAAATTTTCTGATGAAACAGAACCAACCTATGCTTAACAATAATTTACATGTTAAACAAAATTCTCTTATCTTATCTGTTAAATTTATTTCACTAGTTTTTAGAAAAAGCTTCAAATTCAATACTCATTAAAAATTGGAATTATTTTAAATGTGTTTCGTAGTAAATATTTCAAATGCGTTTATACATACCATTTTCTAAATGCAACATCAGAAGTTAATGGTTAGTATTCAATTTTTTGCTTGTACTTTATTCAATATTTCAATGAAAAAAATCACTGTAATGAAGTAAGATTCAGGCAAGATTCTCTCAACTTTGAAAAAATGTATTAAGGCACTTAAATTATATTGAGGTAAAAAAAAAAACTGTAAATAATGCTGTTAGAAATTATTATTATTCATTATCATTGTTATTATAATTTTAAAAATTCCTATAATTTTTTATCTGAAAATAAATATTTTATTTACTGATATTTCTTCTTTAAATATTTTATTTACTTATTTAAATAATATTTTGTCTTTCATTTACTTTTGTTCAATTATTTTTTTTTTACCTTTATTTATTATATATTTGAATCATAAAATTTGTGGGAATTTCTAATTGATTTATTTATGCATTGAAGACTTTTTAATGATTCTGCAGAATATTGAAAGATCGCTTTTTTTAAAAAATGAACTCTAACTATTTTTATGTTAGTATGTTGTATGTATCCAAGAGTGTAGGGTATTCTTTGTGCTACATAAACTAAAGTGAAAAACAATGCGAATAAAGCTCATTTTAATTATATAATCTTGCCTATTTTTGTACTTTATTTGTGCTTTACTCATGTTGTTTTTTGCTGCAGTGTATATATGCATGCTTTTATTTATTTTAAATTGAGATTTTAGAACAACTTGTGCAAATTAAATTAAAAGGTGAAAGAAAATCAGATTTTTTAAACAGTTAGAAAAAGCAATACTTTTCTAGGATTACATAGGTTCTTATTCTAATAATGTATGTTTCACATAACTATTTTCTTATTTATTTGAAAGTAAGGTTTTAAGCAATTTGTAAATTTAAAAAAAAAATTTTTATGAAAATGATATTTCTTTGAAAAATATATTTAGTAAACCTTGGCTGATATTATGTAGGCTCTGTTGATTCTTTAATTGAAAACTTTTAAATGTATCTAGGTTTTAAATTTTTGAAGTGGTTTGACATGAAGGATATGTAATGCCCAGATCAATTTATAGTGATGTTTCTTGTGGTAAAAGTTGAATGTTGATAATTGATCTAAACCTTAAAATGGTTGAAATTATTGGATACATATGACTGACAAATGATTGAGTGTGCTTAACATACAGTAACACCAACATACAGTACACCAACTTTCTTGACAATAGACCAAAAACTTAGATTTGTGAAAATTTTTCCGAATGTATTCATATACAGGGATGTGATTTTTCCGCGGATTCGCGGATTTCTGCATTTTTTCAGATTTTTCCCGCTAATTTCCGCTGAAATTTTTTTTTGCACAAGGTAAAATATTTTATGAGGAATTAAATTTTCTGCGAAGCGAAAGTATTGAAGTCCTCATTCCTCCTTCAAACATTGATTTTTGTATTTACCTGATTTAAAAGTTGAACGTTGCGATTCTTAATCAGGCGATTTAAATGTCATACATTGCGATTCTTATTTAAGAGATTTAAAAATCCAATATCGCTATTTGTAATTATGCACTTTTAAAACCCTATGTAGCGATTCGTATTCTCGCGAGCTTAAAATCCAATGTCGTGATTCGTTTTTGCGGTTGTAATATCAAACATCGATTTTCCTATTTATACTTGCTTTAAAAATTAGACAGTGGGATTCGTATTCGCGCTATTTAAAAACTACGCATCGTGATTCGTATTTACGTGATCTAAAAATTACACATCATGATTTGTATTATCGCATTTTTTAAATTCGATATAGAGTTTCATATTCACATGATTTAAAAGCCTCATTTCGGGATTCATATTCTCTTAATTTAAAATCATGCATGTGATTCATATTTATATATTCATGCAATTTTAAAATTAATCATCGGGATTTATAATCACATGGTTTACAAGTTTAAAAATTGCACTTTTTTGTCGAAATTTTTATATATATATATATATTCTTGAATTTCCTCTTTTTTACTTTCCAACTACTCTCATCCCTGCATATATGCTTTGGAAACAATTTTTATCAGCCTGTAACAGCAACAAATATAATTCATTTAAAGCTGTGGGTAGAGATATGAAAGACAGCATCAAATAAGATAAAGAAGAAATTCAAGGTCAAAAATGTAAAAGTATAATATTTTTGCTGTGGTCTTACTGTGTTAATTGTTTTTAATTTGTTAACTTTACAACATTAGCTTAGTTTTAAAAAAATCAAAATTAACAGTGACTACAATAGTATACAACATATTGGATAATAAAGTCAAATAAAGTTTATCAAAAAAGCATTTTCTGCCATATCGAATTAGTGCAGAAATTATTTGTAATTTATTTACTGTGATGTAGGGGGGGGCGGAATGTACCAGAATGTCGCTCCAGTTCTTTTTAATGCTCAGGATGCTGTTTCAGAACTATAATTCAAGTATTGCCGGTTTTTTATATTGTGAACCTTTATTTTCCTCCCAAGAAAGGCTAGTTCGGCTAAAGAGCTAACTAGTATGTGATTTTTCTTTCCTTAAATAGTTCAAATGTCTTACAATGCCTTTTAAAGAAAATAAATTATCTTTGGGAAATCTTGAAAGACCACCAAAATCAAGCTTGACAGGACTAAAGCATTCCTTATATTTTGAGCTATTTATGTTATGAGAGTGAGCATAACCAGGGGTAACAACAAAAAAATTTTTGTTTAAAGCTGGGGCTACTTTTCTACTCGCCCCTTCTTATGTTAAAAAAATTTGAAGGTCCCTCATTGAAAAGTTTCAAAAGGGAGTAAATTGCTTTGTTGAATGTGAAGAGGACATCACTCTGTCAAACTTCTCCAAGAAAAAAAATCACAAATAGGTAGTACAGGAAGTTGTTCAGAATTGCTTTTATTTAGAATAATTTTAATTGTCTTAGGCTTCTTACTTTGGTGAGTTAATATTATACAGTTTTGTACTTAATTACAGTAATAGCATTTCAAAATTTAATTGTTATAACTTATCCTTTTGAAATATAAACATTTTCATATGCTGAAATATAGTACAAAATACTCGTAGATGAGTTAAAAATTAAAGCTAAATGCTGATAATTAAACTAATTTCTTTGTATATTGTGTCACGTCACAATGCATACATCAAGAATGCAAGATAATGATTTCAGTGTGCCCAGCGTTTTTGAAAAGTGCTTAAAGGTGCTTATTTTTAATTTTTTTCTTCAAAAGCCCGATTAAAATGTGTGGCGGCAATGCTCACTATATTTTCATTTTAAAGTATTGATTTTATATTTTCGTCAAAAGTATTGAACCAAATTACGGATTTTAATAATATTTTTAAAGGGTGCTATTCACTAACACTAGAAAGACTGAAATACCTATATTGCCCAAAAGCAGACAAAATGCCTGCATTGGGAAATAATAATAAATGTATAAAGAAATTTGTTTAAAATTAATTTTTAATATTTTTGATGTTATTTTCAGTTATATAGCAAGTTATTAGTAAATATTAACGATAAAAAACATTATATGTTGTACAAAAAGTCATAAAGTTCTAAGGAATTGTGTCATCATTGTGTTTCTAATTGAAATTAAAAAGCAGTCGAAATGACTTCCTTGGGCAATCTAGTACTAAATCACATTTGTGATATGAATTTATTGGTTTTTTTTGTTTGCTTTATTGTCTTAACATAATTATCAGTTCAATATGATCAAAAATATTAGTCTTATAAATGCCTTCGTTTAGTTTACAGTTGTAAAGAATTTTTTATTTAAATCTTAAATGATACACCCAATAACTTTTTTTTAAAAATTAAACGTAAGAAATTGTAATTTTAAAGTTAATTTTTTTTATGTAATTCATAAAGTATTATTCATTTAAAGAATAGAATGAGTGAATCCACGTTGAATGCTTTTGAAATCATGCATAATTTTTTTATGATTAAGTTTTATAAATATTTTGCAATATGTTAATTTTATGCAGAGTTGAATTACAATTTGTTGGAGCTTGGGGCTGATGTATAACTTGGGATACTACCTTTGCTAAATTAGCCGAAACTTACTGATATTACAAAATTTGCAACTGAAGAGCTTTTTGAAATATTTGTTTATTTATATACACTCATGGACAAAAAAATTAGCGCACCAATAAGGAGTCGTCAAAATGAAATGAAATTTTACATATATAAGGATTACTTTGTTATAAGTAAATGATTAGAAAATCAAAGATTATTGTTTTTCTTTGATTTTCTAATAATTTACTTATATCAAAGTAGTCATTACGTATGTAAAATTTCGTTTCATTTTGACGACTCCTTCTTGGTGCTCTAATTTTTTTGTCCATGAGTGTATTGACTGTTTTTACAAAAATAATTGCATTAAGCATTAAAATATGATTTAATGTCTATGTCAACTCAACAAACACATCCTCTATGAAATTATAAATGTTAAATAGTAGTAAGAAATTTTAAATGAAATGCAAATTTTAAAATTGGTAGAAACCAATTAGAATGTTTTGTTTTTACTAAATTTATTATATTTTTCACACCAAACACTCATATTAAATTTTGAGTGTTTTTAGATGGTTACAGAAAATTTGTCAGAAACACCAAGCACTTGTGGCATGAAGTAATTAATAGATAAAATTAGAAAGAGGAATAGAAAAAAAAGCATAACTAAATATTATCTTTTATGTGTATTTATTTCAAATTTTTCACCCAAAAAATGCAAGTTTTAAAGATGCTTTAAAAAAATTTTACAACATTTCCCTTGAAAATATGAATAATTTTTTAGAAAATTACAAAAAACTATTTTACCTTCTTAAACTTTAGAGGTCCCTTCAGTGACCTTAAAACATTTGGGGTACAGGAGCTGCAGCACCTGTATCTTCCTCTTAATCTATCCCTGATTTTCTGTATATATATAAAGAACTTTTTGTAATAAAAGAAAGAAAAAAAATTGTGAGTGTGTGATTTTAAAGTACTTAAAAATATTTTTTTAATTCTTAAAGGGTACTTAATTTTTTTTTCTTTTGAAAAATTTGGTTACACACTCTAGATTTCGTTGATTTTATTTTTTTTTTAATCTTATTTGATTATTTAACTTTTCTTTACTGTTAACTAAAAATAAATACTCAAAGTTAGCTTCTTTAATAATATCATAATTAAAAACTGATACTTTCAATTGGCTATGATGAAATACTCGGTGTCAACATTACTGAAAATTATCATTGATCAAAATAAAATACGTTTTTCAAAATAAAACGTGTAACAAATAATATTTGTTAATTGTTTTATAATGAATGAATTTCAAAATAAAAAGTTGTGATTTTTATAACTTGAAGCACTCAAATGTGCTAAATAATAAATATTAATTAAGTTATGAAATCTGATACAAAAACATAACTTTTACAAAAATTTTCAGTGCTAGTTTAGATGTGAGAACATTAATATTTTTTGCGTTGCTCATATTATTATTTACTTATATATTGTAGGATAACTCTTATACTAATTATGCAAATATAAATGTTTTTGCACAAACACACATGCTTATAAAACTCATTGTTTACTTATACCTAATTTCATTTAAAAAGTACTTTTAATAACTATTTATTATTTTTCAAATTTAATTTAATATTGATTTTATTTATTTATTATTCTGAATCACGGGATACAATTTCTTTTCACTTCCATCTTATTTGCAATTTTGATGCATTTTTACATAAAATGGATCATTTGTCTGTAATAAATTGTATTGGTCTATTTAAAAAATGTGATTTTGGTTTCTTCTTCAATAAAATGTGATTTTTTTTAAAAGTGTTACACTATCATTCTTAATGAAATTTTTATTTTATTGTGAGTAAGAGTTTTCCACCAAGTATTAAAATGAATTGGATATTAATTTTTAAAATTGTTCAATTAGTAGCTCGTAAATATCATAGTAGCTTGTAGATATCACAATAGCTTGTAGATAACTTGTACATGTCACAACTTTTTAATTAATAATCTACTAAAGTAATGTTGGTTTATGTACATCATCTTATTGTCTTAAAAGACTAAAACTAGAAAATAGATATAAATCTAAAAATATTTTGAAGTGAATAAAAAAAAAATTATCTATACATGGTTTGCTGTAATAGCTGCCCTTAATATAAATTTTTAGAATCCTTGTGAAAAATGAAATCAAAGTTATATTATTACATAAGTTAAAAAAAGTTATTCAAATCAAATGAATCACTAATGAGAAAGGCTGAATTGAAAACCTATAAATAAATGTACTTTGATGGATGAAACTTCAAGTTGGTTTTATTATCTCATTTACTCTTTTCCCAATTTTCACCAACAATTAAGCAGGTTTTTATAATATTAACTCACCTTACTCAATAGTGACTTGTTAAATCTTAAATGCAAGGTTACATTGGATTTTTGTTTTTTCCTTGTTTAAGTATGGATCCATGTGTTCCAACGAAGTAATAATATTAGGATCTTGACTTTATTTTTGAAAAGTCTGCTAAAGATACGTACTATAAAAATATGTACTATAATCATTTGCATAGTTTATAAAATTTTATCTTCTTTCAGTGCTTTATTATTTGAAAAATACTGTATTTCAGCAATGGTATAACTTAAGTTTTTCTTTCAACCCTCCTCCTTTATGAAAAGTTTAGCTCTACAACCCTGCTTATTTAACTTAATATTCACTTAGTATTTATTATAATTGTATTTTGGGATAAACTTCTTATGAAATAAAGAAAATTTATGTTTATATGTTCCTTTACTTTTTTATTTTTATCTTAATAAAGACAACTGTTTAAAAATGTAATCTTGTGGAGTAAGCAACAAAAAGCTAGCTATGGTGTTTTCACTTGATTGCGTTAAAGCAGTTTGTTTTTTATTTTGTAATTAAAATAACCATCCACAAGTTAATTGCAGTTACTTTGTGAATGTACTCAAAATATTTTACAGTATTATATTGTATTATTAACATTTCAGTTGCGCTTTTTGAGGCAAGTTCAAGAGACATCTTGTCCTCCTTTATCATGTGATTTACAGACTGAAAAAAAATCATCACCATCTCACACTGTTGACAACCAGTCACCCACTCTTCATTTATCTAACACAGCCATTGAAGAGGTTATTTTAAGTGAAAATCAAATTGATGACCAACCACCTGAGAAAACCACATGTGAAAATTTGGAGGAAAAATCAGAGCCACTAGAAAATATTTCAGATTCTATAGAAAAGGTATAAACAGCCTAATTAAGCATTTTACTGTAATAATGTTATTTCAACTGCAGAATTTTTAGAATGTTTTTTTTAATACTTTTAGTTGCTTTAACTGTTTTTGATTTTAATCATCAAAAATACATTGAGCTACACTGCCATTTTTAAAATCTTATATTGTTTGTAATACTATATATTCCAAAATAATTTGTGGAAACCTAGATTTTTTTCAATAGAAGGAAGTTCTTAATATGTTTTGTTCCTACTGTAAGCTTTATAAGCTGTTTTATCCTTGTGATTGTCACTATTTAATTGTGTTATAAATTACTAAGAACTAAGGGATCCACTCTTGAAATTTATAAAAAAGATGATTTCTTCTTGAGTAGACATGATGAGAGTTGAGTTTTTCAATTGGCTGATGTTATTTGTTAATGAGCTAACATTAGCACCCCATATGCAAGATTGATTTTCTTGCACCATGCAATAACCATATATCCCTTTCTTATGATTCAGATTCTAATCCTCTCTCATGGGTTTAAAATAAGTTAGTTTTATAGGTATATGCACGGTTTGTAGTTGTCCTTATATTCCTTATTTTCCTGATACAAAATAGTATGTCTTTATTTGTCTTGATTTTTAGTGTTTTGTCCTGTTATTCCAGTTACTTTTTGTTTGTTCAGAAGATATCATTTTGACGGACATACGATTTTAAAAGAATAATTTGGATTTTTTTTAAGAATTTCTTTCACTAAAAAAGAAATAAGAAAAACAAAACCTATTAATGTCAAAACTAGTGTGTTTTTCAAAAATTAAATTCCAAACGTCTTTCAAATGGTGAGTAGTAAGCTTAAAAAAACAGAACCCCTTTTTTATTTTCCCTTTTCTTCAGATGAAAAAATTATTGTTGAATCAGTGTCAGAGCAAAATTTTTTTATACCCACCCCAGCATTTTTTTTTTCAATTTTTATTATTTTATCAGAAGTCAGCAACAGTCACTTGACTCCAAAGTTGTGGACAGCGGGTGTCCCACGCATAGGCTACTGAAGAAGAGAAAGTTTTTTTTTAAAGAAATAAAAACAGTCCAATATAATTTTTTTTCCATTAAACAATCTAACTATGCATTTGCTGATCTCCAAAATATGCCTTATATTGAAGTTGAATACTATGAGTATCCTGTTGTGATTTCTATTCTGGAAAATATTTATTGTATTGTAAGTTTATTGTCCGTTACAAATTAACTTTTATTTTGTACCTAAAATGGCCCATGATTATTGAAGTTGTTAGTTGTTTAAGGGTCAAGTTGAAGTTGTTTTTTGCCCTTCAAATTGCAAAATTACAGTGAAAGCATTGTTTTTCATTTTTTATCCATTTCATTTATTGGAAAGGTTAATTTCTGGGAGATTATGAATAATCTGGAAGTCTATGAGGTTACAGCCCCAGTAGCCTCCCATTTAATCCAGCCCTGAGTGAGGAGCCATGTATGAAAATAGAGTGATGCAAATAGCAAGGGTGTTACTCTTCAGTCTTGGGGACTGAAATCAGTCTTGGGGACTGAAATCAGTCTTGGGAAAAAATCAGTTGACTAAATTTTATCAATTAATATCTCTTTTTCATTAGAAAAAAAAGTGTACTTTTTTCCTTAAAAATTTTGTAAATACTATTTTTTGTTCAAAATAAAATAATATATTTTAATGAGAACATTGTTATTTTGAATAATTGTTGTGAAATGATCAGGTAATGATGTCGCACCAAAATGAAAAAAATGGAATTGAAGATAAAATAAAAGTTATGTAAAAATGAGGATCTGTAAACAGTGCTTCAATACCTGCTTTCTTTCATAAAATTTGTACAATGTGTTGAAATTTGCTTTAGTTTTCATTTTACCTCAATGTTTTAAAATGCTGTTAAAATAAAGTTTTCTTAAATAAAAAAAAATAGAGAGAAAAACAAAAAATAATAATGAAGCAAGAAATTAGTAGAGTTCAGAGAAAAAATAAGTAAATTAGTGGTTTCAATGGTTTGTGTAAAAAGACGTATAGAACTGTTATTTTTATCTTAGTTGCTGTAAAAGAAATAATAAAACAAAATTTTTTTTTTAAAAGAATAATGAAATCCTTGATTTAATATATATGTGCCATTATCATAGAAAGGTACATTTTTGAGTCATTACGCTATAAATTGCTGAAAACTCTGGTAAGCAATGTAAAATCATGTTAATTGGTCAAATTAGTTCAGTCTTGATATTTTTTAGAGTGGCACCCATGAAATAGTTACAAAGGAATTATAGATCTGTAAAATCTGTTTGCCCCAAAATGATAAATTTTTTTCTTTCCATTTGGGAACATCCTAGCTTGGGTCCCTAGTGATTACCAATTAGCTGACTTGGCTAGTCTAGGCCTGCATTATAATATGACACATTATTTTACCAGGTTGAATGGCATACTTGGAAAATAAGTGTCCACTTGAAAGTGATTAAAAGGTTTCTGACTAAGTCATCCGAATTTGTCACCTAAAGTACAGTGATAGAGAGATTTCTAAGCATAACTGTAAATAATATAGTAAACCTAAGCAATGGTAATTGAAATATTAAAAAACTAAAAAATTTGCTTTCCACTGCTTGCACTGAATGTGTTCTATCTGTAGACTATTTTGATCTAGATTTGTAATCATTTTTAATTTCTTTGATATATTAACATTCTCATCAAGAACTGACTATTTTTCTAATAAATATAATTAATGCTGTATAAATTTATTCAGTGCTGATCATAAAATTGTTAATATATACTTCTTTTCAAAAATTTTGTTTTTGCTTTTTTCATCTTTTTATAGGATGCATCTGTCACAAGTTCATTGGATCCTTCTGTGACCACTTTATCTAATGATACAAAAGCTGAATTGCCAGAAGAAAGTTTTGGTATAAATAATTTCTTTGTAGCAATCAAATGATATAGCAATTGATTTATTTTAATGTTTGATTTTGTAGATGATTTATCAGAAATTGATATCTTTTATGTTATGAAATAAATTTTTTTTTGCTCCCAATCTTTTTATATTTCGAAGAGATATATGTTTAAGCATTTTGCTAACTACACCATTTTTTTAGACAGATGACCATTTTTTTTCAGATTAGTTGAACTGTTGCTTTATTTATTAAGGGACAGAAAAAGCAAACAATTTAAATTTTTTTTTTTGTAGTGGTAGTAAAAAATTAGGGTTATAAATGGATCATTGAGCAATAATAAACAAGAATTGAAAGTTAAAATGTAACCATTATAATTAACAGTCTTTAAATTCTCAATTTTTATAACAGTATTATTTTAAGCTATTTGTTTATTTCTACATTAGGAAACTTTTTCCTACTGCTATATAAGCGATTTTGAAACAAGGTTCATAAACTACTTTTCAGTTGTTTTGTATTCTTCAATGTATATGTACTGTAATGTGTATATTGTATCCTGTTTGAAAATTATACATATTTTATTCATTAGAGCTTTTTTAGATTGGTTATATTGCAGTATTCATTTTAAAAATTAGTTATATTATGTGATGTTTTTAGTTGTATGCATTTGTTGTCTTCCCAAAGAAAACTTTATATCAATATTAACGAGTGTTATGAGTTCTGTCGCTTACCAGCCAATGACAATCACAACTGCGACGAAGACACAATTGTAGTTTTCTATATCACTTTTCTTTTCTTATACATATATAATGTACTCTTGATTTGCAACATCAAAATTGAAGTTTTTGAAAAATGCAAGAGAAGTTATTGTCGATTTATATATGTTATTTGATGTGCTAATTCCGAAAGTGGCCTTCATTTTCCACCATCATATCAGAATTTTTTGTAAAATCGATATTGATGTTTTTACTAAAATCCCATATGGAAAAGAATTCTCTCAACAAATGAACTGTCTAGTGACTGTCGTCTTTATTCATTTTGATCTATGTTAAATTGAATCTTGTGAAGGTAAACTAATTTTTGAGCAACCAGCTATTTTTTTGTAGGTTAAAAAGTAAGAAAAATACTGTTGCCAGATTGTGCAAGTCACCTCTGGTTGAGAGAAAAACAATAAGCTCCTTGCGTTAAAATTTTTTCCATCAGTTTCTGGAAGAAAATCACCAACATATCATTTTAATTTATTTTTATTAAGATAACTTACATAAAATTGATGATTGACCATGAAGAGCAAATATTGTGTTTGTGTACATGAAAGTTTGAAACGAAAAACAAATAAAAATAAAACAAAAGAAAATGTTTCTATATAAGTACATACTCGTTTTCCTCTGAAACTTATTTTTGATTATCTTTTTTTATGCTTAATCTCAGACTAATCTGGAGTTAACATCTAAAAGCAGTCAGAGAGCATGTTCTTTTCCCATCTTCTGATATTTACGCTCCATATCTCTAATATCTTGATGGAACCTTTCACCTTGTTCTTCGCTGACTGCTTCTACATTTTCGGGGAAAAAGTCCACACGTGAGTAAAGGAAATGCATTTTGACACTCATGGAGCAATCCAAAGTTTTAAATTTATCCAGCATTTTCATTACAATTGCTGTACTGTCAGGATACTTGTAGTTGCACACAAATTTACTGACAACATCTTTGAAGGCAACCCAAGTTTCTTTATCCGTTGTTGTCATGCTAATCTCGAAATCTTTATCCTTCATGACTTTGCAGATATCTGAACCAACAAGGATTCCCTCTTTCAACTTAGCTTTAGATAAACCTAGAAACTTTTTGCACAGGTATTTGAAACAATCGCGATCTTTTGGAACAGCCTTGACAAAATGCTTCATTACACCTAATTTTATATTTAGAGTGGGTAACAATACTATTTTTGGATCAACTGAGCTGTTTCAAATAACATTCTTATAGCCTGGGTCAAGATTTTGTCTTTTCGGCCATACTTTTTTGACCCAATGTTGATTCTTGTTATGGCTGTTCCACTCACAAAAGAAACATGAGAACTTGTTTAATCCACCTTGTTGAACAACAAGCATGGAGATAACTTTCAAATCACCACAAATGGTCCAATTGTGGTCAATATATTTTATTTTGTCCAGGAAGCGAGCCAGGTTTTCATAGATTCTATTAAATATGCTGAGTGTCTAACTGGTACAGATGCATACTGGCTCCTATGATGAAGAAGGACAGCTTTTAGATGAATCTATAAACAGCCTCCACTCATCTTTATTGTAGATGACTTTAAATTTGCTCATCAATCCAGGAACATCAGAACAATAGACCAAGTTTTCCTAATATCGGAACCTTGAACTAATGATGTTCAGCGTCTGAAGAGATAACTGGCAATTCAGCTGGAGGCACAGGCACATTAGGTCCATGAGGAACAGGGCGTATGGCTGATGGAATGTTATCAAACTAAAATATTAGCCTTTGATATTTCTGGTTATACCCACGGACATGGTAGGAACAAAAATAAAAATCATCAAAGTGGATTTTAGGCTTCCTCCATATCATTGGAATTCCAAATGATAAGGCAGTCTTCTTTCCTTAGAGCCATAAGCGTAGATCATTAAGACACTGCACACAAACTTATGAGTAGCCTACGATTTGTTCTGTTCTCCGAGTTTCATGCCAAAATATGCAAGATAAAGTTGTCTTACATAGTCTGTAGTCTGTCCTCATGCGATATTTAACTACACTGTGTTTGCCACATATGTAACCAAAGTCATCTGAGAAATTTTCACTTCTCAGCCATGTTTCACAAAATGCACAGAGAAAAGCAGACGTTAAAAATGCTTTTGAAAATGACTCCTGATTATACTTGCTAGTGTTCCTCTAAGGTCAGCATACCAAGATAAGAATTTTTGTGATGCTATTGGTGGAAAGATATTGTGACAGAGAGAGGGATGGTGACTGGAAGATGTCATAGAGGGGTACTTTTGTATATTTAACCAAAGTAGAATGTTGGTCAGGCAAGAAGGGAAGAAATTCAAAAGCATTTTTTTTTTATGGTAAATGTTCATAAAAATTCCAGTAAAATTGAATTTTTCAAGAAAATGTGACCTGATGGAAATTTTTCATTATTTTTTTTCATTTCAGCACCAAAAAATACATACAGTTCAGCTATCAGTCCCTTGTATTTTTGTTCTTCGCAGGCTTGTGTTATTGGCAGAACTTTGTGAAAAAACTATTGCTAATCCATTAATTCTGCAGATTAAATAATGCTACATGTTGATATTTTATCATATTAACACAATCCATTATTTAAGTTAACATTGCCTTTCTAAACTTTATTAAACAATTGATTTTAAGGAGTGGATGCACTTAGTTTATTGCAGTATTATTTTCTGTTTGCTTTCTATTTTCATAGTTAAAATGAAATATTTTAAATTAGAAAATTACTTTTTTAGTAAAAATCCATTTCAAAGAATCTAATAGCATAGTTATTTCATATAGACTGGTTTTATTTTAATGGATGGAAAATTGTTTTGAACTAGATTTATATAAATTTTTAATTTTCTATTAATATTTCTGACATTAAATATTGTTTTATTATGTAGTATTTTTAAAAAGAAGTAGATAGTTGACGAAGAGGCAAATTAATTTAAATATTATCTAGGGCTCCAAACTTACAAAAAATTTCTTATTTGTTAACCCCATCAATATGAAATCCATTAAATTGAGTCAATTCTGGAAACTATAAGATTTAGAAATAGATAGCTTACATGTGTCATTATGATTAAATTGTTCATCTTCTAAAAACTGTTTAGGAACTCAAGGAACCTTTAAACTATACTATAATATAAAAAATATTAAGAATATATTAGACTAAAACCATAAAAAAATTAGAACTAATGAGTTTATTTCATATCTCTGTTCATAATAATTTGATAAAATTTTTTTGGTTCTTATTACTTTATAAGTGTAGATTTTTTTAAAGCAATGAATATTTCCTAATGTAAAAGATAACTTTGAAATTTTTTATGATAGTCAATTTGAAATTTTATGATTTCTTTTAAAATTATTTTGATGAGTTGTATTCATATAGCTCTTAAAGTAGTTAAATTTTACAGAAAAAAGTTTATTCATAACTAATTTTGAATAGTTTTTTATTGTAATTTTACTCTCTGGATATTTGGACTAAAAACTGAGTGTAAATATTTATCTTAAACATTTTAAAAATATTGGTTGGAAATGAAAAATATCCACTTCTGTAAGTTACTTGAGAAGTGCTATACAAATAATCTGCAAGATGGATGATCAAGCATTTGTCTGAATATGAAAATTCAAAAATCTTTGAAAGTGAACTTAATCTTTCACGCACTGAATTTCAATATGAAACTTGGACATCACCACACAAATATATATATTTTTTTAGGGACCATAAATTATTTAACATTTTTACAACATATGTAATTTTCTTAATTAGAAAATTACAAATTCAATTTTCTAAAAATATTGTAGAAAAAAATAGTTTTTTGTTTCACCTCTTATATTTATGAAATTAATGATGATCCTTTCTCAAAATGTCCATTCAAACATTCATTTAAAATATATCGATTTCAACATAATCAAATTTGAAAGGTTATCAACACTGGATACTAGATAACTTAAATCAGTGTCAAACTTTCATTTGACTATGAATTAAAGACATGTATATTTCTTTTACTTGTTTTGAATTAACTTAAGAGAAATATATGTTTTCTTAAAAATAACCCCATTCATTTAAAGTTTTGGAACATATTAAATGGCAAATGTTAATAAGGCAAATGTTTTTTTATTGTTCATCTTTTGAGGTTAATTTCTATTTTAAATTTACAGTTTCTGAGACTTCAGATTCTAATCAAGCTGAGAATGAAGATGATTTGAATTGCTTGATTCTAAAAGAAAGAATACTTGCATTAAAATCAGATGAATTGATATTAATTAGAGAGGAGTTACGTAAAAAAATACATTCTGAGAAAATGGACATGTCACGTCTCAAGATGGAAATTCAAGAGTATGAAAAGTTTTATAAGTATGCAAGAATTAGTTTTATTTCCTTTTTTTTTTTCTCAAAGTTTCCTCGTTGGCAGTTTCAAATAAATATTATATGCACTTTTATTTTTATGTTCATAACATAATTTTCTATTAGCTTCAGAACATTACCTGGTTTTTGCTACTTCAAATCATATTTCCCATATATTTTGCTATAGTTATTTTTTCCTTATTCCTAAACTGATCACTATTGATGTAAATTTTAAAAACGAATCATAATAATTAACCCGCTGTGTTATTGTTGAGGGAATAATTAATTTTATTTATTGATTACTATACTAGACTTAACTTCAGATTACTAATGTGTTGACTTATTTAGTAATAATACCAAGATAAAAAAAACTAAACCTGTATAATCTGCGAGTATAGATTCTAGTAAATATTTCCTCAAGTAGTTTGTTTAAAAGTTTTCTCCAACTTTGAGTAATTAACATTATAAATTCTGTATTTTCAGATTTTCTGTGTTTTTTGATCATATAAATATAAAGGCATGAAAAGATTTTTGCCATATTGATATTAAGATTATTTCCATGTAATATTTCAAATTTTACTAAAATGTTGATAAAATTCAAAATATTCTTATGGCTAATTTTAATCCATAATACTAAGTTACCTGTGCACATATTAATGTATCTAATACTTTTCTATGACCATATTCATTTTTGCTTCCTTTTTTATATGTATGTTCGATATTTTTTCTGAAAGATTTATATCTTTTCAGGAAGTAAAGTTTTCTATTCTTGTTTATATTCGTGAGATTTTATTTTGTATTTTGACAAATTTTCAACATGAAAGCACAATTGTTAGTTTCAAATTCAATTCAAAGATACTTTTAATAAGTTTGCTCTTAAGTATTCATTTAAAATAACATATCTCTAAGTTAGCAAGAATTCTCATATTTACAGACAGATTTTTTATGTAGTCACATTTTTAAATTTTATCTTTTATTTTAGACATAATCTTTCTAAGACATAGAAATTAAACTTGAAATATTATTCTAGATAGATTTTTGTTTTTGTTTTTTTGTGAAGAAAATTCTTTTTTTTTTTTTTTTTTTTTTTTTTTTTTTTTTTTTTGAATCTAACAACACTGATTTTGTTATATTTCAGATTGAAAACTGAAGAAAAACTTTTTTAGTTACCTTCCTTAAAACTTTGTGTTTGAAACTTTTCCCCATTCTTTAATCTTTGTTGTAAAATTTTATTAATATTAATTTTAATTTTGTTGCTGTTTGATTACAAGTAAAATTGATCTGCAGTCTGAGAAAGTGCAGACATTTTGTATACTATTTGAATTCAAACAATAATTTGTGGCTGCATTATAAATTTAGAAATGGGATGAATATAATAAGATAATATAATAAATAAATATAATAATACATATCCAATATTCTACCTAGCGCTTTAAATTTTTATTGAAACATATTTTGACTCAAACAATTCGAATAATTTGACTTCAATATCCTCAGTTAGTTTTAAAATTACTTTTAAGTAAATAATAATTTAGGATCATATTTGGTTGTTTAAATTTTTTTTTTTCACTTCTTTCTCCATTCTTGAACAATTAAAAGTAACAGATATTTACATTTATGGTAATTTCAGTAGGAAAACTCATGCTTTGGGTTTTGCAGTTTATTTTAGCATCTGAGATGTAAAAAGATAGTGACCATTCAACACTATTTTGCAGGTTTTTAGTATAACAATTCTATGAAGATTAACTGAAGCTCAATTAATAGTTTGTGCTCTCTGAGTTCCTCAGATGTAATTTTTTGTTAATTGAGCAGCTTATAGTAACTGAGGCACTGAATATATGAAAATGGTAGAAATGAATGGCTAACTGCATTATCTACTTAACTCTATAGTAGTTCTAGCTAACCCATGTTTATCAATAATATATTTGTGAAGATAAAACTGTAATTACAGAAAGATATTTGAATGCAGTCTTGACCATAAAAGATGCTTTAAAAGAATACTTTAATTCTCCTCAACCTGTGTTAGTGACTAATGAATTGTTTTAATATGAATTACAATCTCATCAGGAATATGTAGCCTACATGGAAGAAAGAAAAGAAGATATTGGAAGAGAAAAAGATAGCTGGCAGAAAAAAGGAGAGAGACCTAAGAGAGTAGTTGCAAAGAATAACGAAATCTAAAAAAGCACTATAGAGGTGGAGGGTATTGAATTAAAGGAAAAGAAACATATACACAATAAAATTAAGGAAGCAGCTGAAAATATGCTTGAAATATCTACTAATCAACTTGGAAAAACTTAAGAAAAATTTTTTTTTTAAAAAGAGTGAAGCTAACTCATGTTATGCGGTGCTAATGGGTGTGAATATGAAGTTCAATGAAAAGGCAAAGGAAAAGTCAATAAAAGAGAAAGAGAGTCTTGAAATGAAAAAACCATTACTTAAAATGAAAAAAACAACAGTCATTACACAATTTTTTTCTAAAAAACCAAAGACAGAATAATAAAAATACCTTATACCTTGTATTACCTTATTTCGTAATTATATCCAATTTTTGTTTTTTATAGCCATTTATTTTTTATTTAGTAAAACCAATTGTTATTGTAAGAAAAGACAAATAATGTGAAATTTGTCACAAAAAATATTAATATTATAGTCATGTCCCATCTAGGACCTTGTCTGGTGTAAACCGGCTTATTTCGATTAGAGATTTCTGACAAACAAATTTGTTTTTATTTTCCTTCTTCATAAAGTTTTAGCTGTATAATCTGCTAACGTTTTAATTATAGGAAAAACATGAATTATTAAAATTATTGGTTATTACATAAACTTCAGTTTATATTTGTACTAGTTCATTGTTGTGATGTGATTACAATTATTATTACCTATTTTTACTTTAATTGGAAAAGTATCACCTTTTAGTCACCATTTCTGAGAAATTAATCATCTTTCTCATATTTTTTAAAGTTTTCATTTGCTTCCCACTCATTTATGAAAATTTGCTACATTTATATTCATATTTTATTTGATTTTGATTGTTTGTTTGAAAAGAAATATTGTTGTTAGGTTCAAGAAATACTCATTTGACTCAGCAGAAAATAGTTCTTTGGATGACAGCAGTTCTTCTGTATCCTTTCAACTTAATTAAAATTTCATTGAAATGTTACACTGACAGGTAAATTCTTAGGTTGGTGAATTTCAGTACAGTTATTAGGAAATTGTAAGAGTTATGTTCTGAACATACACCAATTGTAAGTACATTTTAAACGTAAACCACTACTCAGTATAACTGTTTTAATTTACCTATCTTTGTTGGTGAGTTGACTCATATAGGTAAATAAAAAATCACAGTAATTAAAAATGTTTTGTGTTCATATATGTTCATCTTGATTTTTATAAATTTTTATTGTATTTAATTTTTTTTAATAATCTTTATTAGCCTTAAAAAAAGTAATGGAACATTTTTACTATTTTTCTACAACTAAATAATGTTTGCTGGAATGATTAAACTGCTTGATGATAAAGTAGGAATTATAAAAATTTTAAATAGAGAGGTCACAGAACCAGGAATATTATTAATATGGAAAAATAATGGATAAATCAGGGAATTTTATTCAAGTGCCATAAGAGGGAAGGAGAAGGCTTCTTTAAACTTGTTTTTTTAAAGCTCTTTCACCAAGGAACATAAAAAGCCATAGTTAAGGTGCCTTACACTGAAAGCAAAGCTATAATTTTTAACTATATATGCCATCTTGCCATGAGGAATTATCTGGACTACACAATGGACAAATAGTTTAAAAGTTATTAAACTTTTTTTTAAAAAAAATTGCCATTTTGGCAACATTTTCCGACCTAAATTAAAAATATCGAAATCAATACCTACTTCTCATTCTTGCAATTTTTTTTATCCTGGCTAAAGATAGGCAAAACTTGACCTAACAGTCATGAGTAACTGTTGCAAATTCATAGCAGTTATGAAAATAGCATATTATTATGCATTTTCTGTCTCATTATTCATGCCACGACAGAGCTTTAAAAAAATAGGCTTAGAAGTTGAATCACCTATATATATANTGTGTGTGTGTGTGTGTGTGTGTGTGTATACACACACACATTGCTTTTTAATGTTTGCAATTTGTTAGAATCTTAACTTTATAAAGTGTGATACTGAAGAAGATTTGCCTGAAATACTTAAAGATCTAATGATGGATAACAAAGAAATGAAGGTAAAAAGTAATCTAATTTTATTCTTGACTTTCATGAGAAAAATTAATATGCAGTGTCCATGGTCAGTCTTAAAAGTAAATGTGTACCTGCAATGTGAAAGGAGCATTTCAAGTCTATAATTTCACAGGAAAAAAAATTATATTTCAGAATTACTATGAATATTGTGATAAAAACTTTCAAAACCTGTATTATTTATTATAATATAACATATGACTATAATATGTAAGTTTAATCCTTTTTTTATAAAGGTAATAATTCTGAAAATGTAACATTTTTGTTGTTTTATACAGGGTTCCCAGGATTATTGGGCCAGAATTTAAGGGGAGGCAGGGGACATTATAAGGATTCAGAATCACGTAGCAACCCATGGTCGTTAAGGGCGCGGGAAAATAGTATAGCTGGTAGAAGAAACCAAGAGACACGAGACAGAGATTATCTGAAATATTTATTGGTCAAAGATATTATGTGTGCTGTGGTTGATGATAAAGTTGCCTATGCATGGCTAAGATATGCTAATTACTGAGACTTGTACCATGGAATGTTTTTAGAATAATTGCAATATTATGGATAAATTAAATAATCTATAATGTAACTATTTAAATTGATATTTATTTAAACCTAATAAAATTATAATATTTGTAGCACAAAAAGAATAGCTGAAGAAATTTGATATGTATACATACTTTTGTTTCATATGTATCCAGTTGATAAAGTTACAGTGATAGAAGTTTCAACTTCAACTTACTATATGTTCATGATATATTTTTAAACCATATACATCAATTTCATCACTTTTGGACCAAAAATGTCTAAATTCCTCCATACAATTTGAGCATCACGTAAAGTTTTCTCTTTTAGTTATTTTTCAGATAGGCTCGATTAAGTCATAGTTTCTTCATTATAACTCTCAAACACATTATTTGCTACCATTTCAGCAATTTTAATACATATTTAAATCATTCTTTAACATATTTAAATCATTTAACATATTTAAATCATTCTTTTGAGTTTCAATATTCTTACCAATGTTTACAAAATCATCACCACTCATAATACTGTCTTCAGTCATCCAAATCAAATCCGTTAATTTGAAAATGGGAACATTAGAATTTGTGACTTCTATGACATCTGCAAGGCAGCTATGACATCCTTTCTGAAGCTTGCTTTAGTAGAACAGTTTAAAACAACTGAGAGTTTTGCTTTTTCCAGGTGGCAATTATCCACAAAGAAGCTTGTACTACATCTTTTTTTTTCCAGTTTTTTTTGGCCCACTTAAGATTGCAATAAAATGTTTTAGCATCCTCCCATTGCTTCATAGGAAATCTGGGAAAACCTTCTTAAAATTTAGCCTCCCATGATGCATAGAGGAAAAAGCATGAAAATATCTACTTATAATGCACCAGGTCCTATAAATTTGTTGTACTCGTAATTGATCATTTGTCAAGAGTCTAAATGAATGCTTGATTTATATAAACACCTCTATTAGTTTTCTGTTCTCTTTCTTTTTTACCAAACTGTGTTAAGAACTAGGGTCAGATTAAGAGAAAAAAGGAATTTTCAATGGGGAACAGGAATTGATAGTGCATAATGCACCATATCAAGTTGTGAGATCTCATAACCTGTGTCCTGCAGGTGACAAAAGATGTTACTGTCCAAAATATTTCACATGTGCAGTATCATTTTATCTCCATTATTTAAAGCTAAAAGAAAGTTAAATAACAAAATATAGTTAAATCAGAAAATTTGCATGCTTTGAAAAATGGTGGAAATATGCTTTTTTTTAACAAACAATTTTAAAATAGAAATATTGTTTGGAACAAGTGAACAAATTTCAACAATTGGCGTCCAGTTTAAAGGGATTGAAAATAATGTTTTAGGGCATAAATGACTGCCCATGTCTGGTTTCAGGAGTGTCTTCTTTCTTGAGAGGGTACATAATGGTTTATTCTTAAAAGATTCACAGGGAGTTAATAAATGTCTGTATTGATGTAAAGAGAGGTGTGCGTTTTTTATCATGAGGTTTCACTGTAATACATATGACTAAATAAGTTTTCTTTCAAATGTATCTGCTTACCCTCTAAAATTTGAAATTTCTAAGAATTTTTTCCCCAACTGACGTTGAACTGAAGCAAAAATGTTCAAAACAAATAAATTTTAATAAACTTAAAAATATGATCATTTGTATATCTAACCTTTTTATTTATCTATTTAAATTAATTATATGCAGTGTTGAATAAAATCCTTTTCATTTTAATTTGTTAGATAGTTTTTACTGAACTTTTGTTATTACTACTTAAAATATACCCTTTTGCATTATTTGTGCTGTAGTCAGGTAGTAGATATCTACAACAAATCTAATAATTGCATTAAAAACTAGATACAAAACTGTTTTTTTATCTTAGAACTTTAACAGGCTTCTCCTCAAATTTTAAAATAAATACATTTAAAGTAAGAACATATTTTTATTATTATTTTCTATGAAGCCGATAGCTTAACTTGGAATATCTTAAACACATGGATTAAATTAATGTCTGCTATTTTAAAAATAAGTATATATGTTTTTAATGTTAAATTTAAATAAAACTATACTGGTATTGGTATTTTTCTAATTATTGTATGTTAGTATTATTCATCAATATTTGAAAATAAATATTTTTTTATTTGATAAACTTAATAATCTGTACTTAAATTTTTAAAAAGTATAACTTAGGCAACTTTATGTTTACAGTTAAACTGTACAAAGGTCAACTGTGTAAAGATCAACTGTACACCTATGATCTCTCTACAACGCTCTAATGTAGCTGTACAAAATATTCAGTTTAAAAGTTATTTGAGAAAGTCTCTTTTTGTCATTATACAGTTTATGATTGCTTAAATATGAATTTCCTCTTTGTTATTTTTGTCTCTGAAATCATTTTCATTCAAAGTATTTGTATTTTCTTTTTATTAAAATGTTAATTCTTTCTTTTCCTTTTCTTTCAGGAAAAAAATAATGAAATTTTGAAAAAAATCCAGCATGAACGGGAGTTGATACTAAATGCTAAAGTTCAAATGAAATTGTTGATGCAGAGCAGAATCTTTAATAACAGTACCCAAGAAGAGCTTTTAATTTAACTCCTACCCTTTCTTTCTGTTTTATTCATTTCATGTTCACACATATTTGCTATGTATATGTAATACAATGAATTCTCGCTACTACGATATCCAGTACAGCAATAACTCCCTTTATTGCGATAATGTTTCGTGGTCCGGATGAACTTTAATATGAATTAATGTCATGCTCCTCCCAATATTATGATATTCTCTGAAGCAATAAACTCCTGTGAAAAAATTTTTACCCATACTTCAAACTTATTTTCTTGATTTATTATTGGTTTGCAAATAATGTAAAAAGTCTTATCTTATCATCTTTTGCCATTTTTTCCCCATCTTTTCTGACAAGAGAAGACTCACTGCTGACCACCCCAAAAGCTTCCATTCTTAGAATTGCCTCCTTTATCTCTTACGAAGTCACAGATGTAACATTCCTATCTAATTTCATTTCATTCATGTTAAAAGCTGATCATGAGTCACAAATGACCACAAGCATCACATTAACACCTGAAGGAAAAAAATTTTCTGTAGAGGGTGGGTGAGCAGCATTCACAAACAAAAATCTTTTTCGTGCTTTGTACTTTTTTATACTTTGTTGGTTGACTTGACAGTAAAAAAAAAAAATCAATAAACAAACAAAAAGATCAGATTATTTTCAATAAAAACGGTTTTCAGGTATGTTTATGATCAAATTTTCTGAATTTATTTCAATTGTTTTTAATATTTAACCATAATTAACACTGCAAATTAATTTTTTATGTAATATATAAATACATTTATAGTTAGTAAATATGTAACATTAAAATTTAAAAAAAATCTTATTGTGTCCCCAAATCATGTAAGCCCTTGATATAACAATATATCCCTCTACAATAATATATTTATTTAGTCCCCAAAATATTGTTGTGGTGAGGTTTTACTGTATTTATGAATAAGGGTGCCCTTTATTTCTTTACTTTAAATTTTTATAATGTGTACCCTTTTTTTTATACTAGAATATCAAAAAAGAGAATTTATAATTATTCAACTAGTAGATTTTGATTCCTGTAAAGAAATTGGACAGTTCATTTGTCAAATAGCTATTTGGATTGTGATCAATATGCTATTTTTATTATCTTTTATACCAAGTTGATAGGAAGAATTTTATAGTATCCTTTTTCTATTGACTAATGTTCTTTTTCTTTCTTTCAATGGGTCTCCACAGATGAATCAAATTCAATTATTTTTTTAGTACCTAGCATATTACCTAGTTATTACCCAAAATGAAAATTTCTCTTTTTTTTACTCTTAAAAAAACTTAAGAGAAGACTCTTAAAATATCAGTTTTTGGAATTAAATCAACTCAATTGTTCTAACCTTCCATTGAAAATTAGCAAAAATTTTAAGGTTAAATAGCTTTTAAAGTTATGAACTCAAATTAGCTTTTAACTAAAAGGTTGCTTTTTAGCTATGATTAGTATAACTAATGTTGCGATACATTTACCAAAACTAATTAAAGATGTATTTGATTAATCAATAAATAATACAATATAATAGAGATGTAAAAATAGCATAATTGTAAAAAAATTTTAAAATATAATTGGAAATCACTTGAAAAATATCATATAGTAAAACTATTATTTCCTGTAAAATATTCTGTGACTTTTATTTTATTCCATAACTATTAAAATGAACTATTATTTTTTATAAAACTTCTGTTCAAATATTATAATACATTACTTTATAAAACATCATTTCAAATATTTTTATCATAGTAGCATTTTTTAAAACAATAAATGTTCTTTATAAATTAAACCATTTTTCAAAATTCTGATTTGTAGCATTTATAATTTTTAAAAACCTTCAAATAACATTATTAATTTCTTAAATTAAAATGTGTTACTCTTACATGTGCAATTTAAATTTCTCACATTATATAACAAGTTTTACCCAAACATGAAAAGTTTTAAATTTTTGAAATATTATAAACTGCCCAATTTGAAGAAATTTTTTACATATTCCTCAGTATAGGCATAAAATCTTATAATGTACAAAAAATAATCTTTTGGGGTAAGTGATGGTCGATAAGTCTATTCTGTTTGCATGCCTATCAAAAAATTAATTTGTACAAAATCAATTTTTTATATACCTTCATTCTAAGTACAAGGAGCGTTCAATTGCAAAAACCACCGGCAAATGCTTGTTTTCTAGAGATTTTTGGTCTTGTTAAAACCCTAATTACTTTTTGGTTTTAGCATTAAGCAAATTCTGTCTTGAAATTTGCAAACAAATTTAATTCATGCAGTTTGAGGGGACTTCAAAAATGATCCAATTCTGCTTTGTACTGAAAGTAATGTAATTATTTTGTTGGTTCATTTTTCAACATTTGCATGTGCCTACAATAAGATAGTTGTTCGTAATAACAAATTTTCTTTATCTGTGGTTCTTGTTATAACAAGCTTTTATTGTGTATTTACATGTACATGATTTTTCTCTGAGAAAGTTAGTTCTTATGTATGTTTGTTTTGTATTTAATTTCTTTAAATATGTACTATATATTCTAGAAAACAGATTTAAATTTGTATGTGATGATGTGCCTTATCATAAAATATTTTTTGCAATTTGTAGGGATTGCATGTTTTTACTTTTTGACATTTCCTAATGATTTCTCATTAGTTTTTATGTAAATACCTTTATTTATTAGGAGATTTTTTTCCCTTTAAGTTATTAAAGAATCAAAATAAAATTTATAGAAAAATCATTTAAGTTTTGTGCTTTCAATTTTTAGTAAAGCTCTTTAAAATTTCTAGATTTAGCAAACTTCAGTTTTTCATTTTTCACAAATGTTTTTGCTTAAGGCCCTTTCTATGCTGGAGGACAACTCAAATCGAAGAAACTATGGATGGGAGGAAGAGGCGTGGATAAGGGGAGGGAGATAAACTAAGGGACCAGGGATTTCCGGGTTACATTTTTTGGCAAAACTCAATATTTAAAGTGTGCACCAAAAGTTGATTACGCATTTATACTTATTACTTTTTCACTATTTTTTGTGTATAAAACGGAGGTAGTTTGATTCCTTGTTACTCCTCTTATTTATTTTATTATTTTTACACCATTCATATTTCGTCATCATTCCAAATATTGGTAATATCAAATAAAATTTAAAATAATGTATGACACTGTTTTTTATTCCTTCATATTGGGAATGCTTTAAAACATTTACTCTGCTCTAGAAAAAGATTTATATTATAAATATTAATAGTCTAGCTAATAACAATTTTGTATAAATTGTTTTGAGGCTTTCAATCTTCTTTCTGCGAATCCCCAACAGTAAATAAATATTACTGCCTCGATATCATTTTGAATTTTCTTTCACTCACGTAACTATGTAATATAGCGTGTATATAGTCATTACATCTCCGAATATTTCCGACCATATTTTACTTAAGAATTAAAGTGCGCAAGGGTTTTACTAAACGGGGGACAATTAACTTGCATTTAATGGTGATCCTAAAGGTATATTTAAAGGGTTATTTTATATTTCTGATGCTATTGAAAAATGTGAAAACTGTATTTTTCATGAATCTTAATGTCTTTTCCTACATTCTCTTGGAGTTTCAAAAAGATTTTTTTTTTCAAATAAGTAAATTTTTTCTTATTTAATATATTGTTCATGTTTTGGTAAAGTAGAAAGCATAATTATATAGTTAGTGCAGAGTAGTTAGTTAGTATGTTAGTGTTCTTTTACATTGACTCACATTTTTCAGACTCTTTTCCACATTATCTACCTGTCAGTCTCTTTTTCTTTTTTCTTCTAGCTTATAAAAAGATATTTTTTACAAGGTCATCTATTGATATGACCAAGTCATTTCATCTGTTAGATTTTAATAAACTTCATTTTTTAACTTTAATTATGCAAAAAGAATAATTATCATAAATTTGATTAAAAAAGCATTCTTTGCATTAGGTTTTATATTCTAAAAAAATACAGCTGAAAAATTAAATTATAAACTTTCAAAAATTCAATGCGTCTTAATATATAAAAAATTTTTTATTCAAAAAAAAAAAAAAAACATTTACTTTAAAATAACACAGTATTTATTTAAGGATTAAAAGAAAATACAGCATAATGTGAAATTAATATTTTTACAATGTCTAAACAAAATAATCATAAAATCCAAATTTAAATAAAGTATAAAAGAGAAATGTAGCATAATTTCTTAAATGTGTGCTCCGTATATTTTATGAAGCAATAAGTAATAACAATACTATGGACTAGTTTTTTACATGTTATCAGTTATAAACCGTCATACTAGAAGTTTTTTTGTTAAAGCTATCTTTATCATTTGAATAATAAATTAGTGCTGCAATTCTAAGACAAGAATTTTGTTTTAAAATCTTTCAAACAGAACTACCGTATAGTTACCATTAAATTACAATTGACAAAAATCAAATAACAAACATTTTATCAAAGACCTCTGCAATTTTTAACAATCACAGGTGGTACTTTAGTAAATGAATAAAAGGTAGCATATACTTTCAAATGTAAACGTTAATAAGTTTACGAGCAAAATAAAAAAGCAAGTAAAAGAAAAAAAATCTATATTAAAAATATATATTATATCTAACTGGTTCGAGAGGTCCTAGCTAACAAAATTATATACTTACTCTAGTTTTTAAATTGGATTTTTCAAAAATACTTGTAACAGCGAATAAGAGGATGATATTTTGACATGAGAGTTATCTTAATTTTATTATCTGCTGGGTCTTAAAAAATAGTAGTGAAAAATATATTTTAATATATCATTTCAAAATTAAGTACAATTAATTTCCTTTAACTTTAAATTAATAATTTTGTAAACTTTTCTGCATTCAGGTATAGATACTTTTATTCTATAGATGGAAAAAAAAAACTGTTACGCGAGTCGCGCTTTTTATAACACATTGCTTCGTTTCATTAGGAAAAAGCCGAACATTTATGTGCTAAAACAAGTACACTATTGCGGTAGTCAACCTTAAAACCGAAAATTAAAAATTCTTTTTCAATATAATATTTTAAATTTTATTTTTATTACAAAAATTGTAACTCATCCTTTAATTCGCAACACAGGAGAAGTAAGAACCACTGATACTATGGCCTACATAGTTTTCAAATAAAACAAAATTCTTCGTACAAATCAAAGAATTTTTCATGACTTATTTTGCAACTATTTAAAAACCATTTTCGTTCAATGATTCCATGTCAACAACTACGTGTTTACTTAATTAAACAACTATCGTAG